TGTACCACGCCCTCGCATGTGCTCCATTTCGCCTCGGACTTCCTGTGTGATATTAGTGAAGGACCGATAATATCCCTCACACACGCTAAGAAAGCTGGAAAATTACAAGTTACTGTACAGTGGACAGGGTGATAATTTTAGTACCCTGTACATTCAGGGTACTCATCGTTTTTTTACAAATTTACCCTGATTTTCAAAGGGTGACAAAAATTTTACCCTAAGAGACCGGGTAATTTTTTTAGGTGCACTGATTACTAAGGGTGCCCCTAAACCAATTTTGAGACCTGGATGGCAGGGGAGGCTGATGGATCAGGAGACAGAGGAGGGGACACAGGAGGGGAACGAGGGGGGAAACGGGCCGGAGACGCATTCGGAGGAGGGAACACAGGGCCGGAGACAGGAGGAGGAGGAGGCTCGGGCAGGGGGTCAGGGGACGGAAGGTCGAGCAGGCAAAGAGCGGACACCGGCGGGGACTGCTGCGGTGGCGGCGGGACACGGACACCGGGACCGCAAGCTGCCTGGCGGCTACCTCCAGAACATTCCACGCCGGCACCCCCAGAAGGAACACCCCTAGAGCTCAGAACCCCTCGAGCACCGGTACTACCCCCAGGCACGCCGGGACAAGCCACGACAGGAGTCCCAGGACGAGTACCCACCCCAACTCCAGCACCCCCAGAGGCAACGAACTCCTACGGCGACGGCTGCGGTGGCGGCAGCTGCAACGACGGCTGCGGCGGTGGCGGCGGCGGTAACGATGGCTGCGACAGCGGTGGCGACGGCGGCTGCGGTGACGGCAGAGGAGGAGACACCTGAGAGGGGGCAGGCGGCGAGGACTGCGCCGCAGGACCACCAGAGTCAGCAGACTCCTCAACCAGGACAACTGACGTAAGGGGGGTGACGTGGGACACACCAGAGGGGGCAGGACGGGGAGGGGGAGGAGGAGGGGCGGCGACGACCGGGGGAGGGGTGACCAGGAACAGGGGGGGGGTAACCGGGGGACCTCGGTGGGGGAAGTGGTGGAAGAAGGAGACGGACTCGTTCAAAGGTGACGTCACAGGAGTGAAAGAACCGGTGAGACGGCGGGTGGTAGAAGTGCCAGTCAGACGCGTCAAGGGGGAAGCCGAGGAAGACACAGGGAAGGGTGCGGGCAGTGAGCTTGTCCGTGCCAGAGGCACGAACGTGAGCAAGGCAGCCCCAGACGTGGAGCGCAGACGCGTCACTAGGTGACCCAGACGAAAGGAGGGTCGGCGAAACCTGAGTCTGCTGGGGGTGCGGCCACAGGTTAAGCTGGTGAGCGGCGTAGCGAACGGCGAACGGCCACAGGTGCAAGCCACCTCCATGACCAAACCGATGCGACGCTCACTGACCCCATTCTGCTGCGGGGAGTTCGGCAAGGTGAAAGTCTGGGTGATGCCCTCCGCACGACAGAAACGACCAAGGACACCAGAGGCAAACTCGCCACCACGGTCGGAGTGGAGATGCAAGACAGGGAGACCGCGGTGGACACGCGCAGAGACAAGCCATGGGATAAGAACGTCAGGCACGTCGGCCTTCCGCTCCAGGGGGAACACCGTGGTGTAGCGCGTGTAGTCGTCGACAAGCACTAGGAAGTAGCGCTCTCGACGCGGCCCATGGACGGGGGCGGGGCCCCAGACGTCCATGTGCAGGGTCTGTAGCGGTGCTGCGGTAGGGGGAAACGAGGAGGAGTGAGGGGCACGGCGGAGCCGGCCCTCGACACAGGGCGTGCAAGGTGGGGCCGAGGAGGAGGGAAACTCGGGGAACGACCCGGGGAGGCCTAGGACGAGACCGTGCTGTGACATGTGACGCAGACGCGGGAGCGCAGGGTGACCGAGGCGGTGGTGCCAGAGAAGAGTCGGGAGGATGAGAGACCGACAGGAGCAGGCAACAGCAACCGGGGGAGACGCAGCCACCTGAGGAGGGGTCCCAGCCGGGGGGGTCACTGTGTCCAGTGTGAAAAGACCGAACACCGGGTCCCGTGGGAACGTGGACAGGGGGGCACCAGTGGCGGCCTTGGTACAGACAGCGTACCGCGCGTGTCCAGGGAACGTAGTGGTGACGTCAAGGTCCTGAAGGCAGCCGACACCAACTAGGTTCCTGGAGAACGAGGGGACGTGCAGTCCTGTGAGCGAGCCCGAAGGAACCGCCAGGCAGGGGAGGGTGGTGGAACCGCGGGCGACTACAGGGCCGGAGGTGGGGTCAGCAAGAGAGACTGTGGCAGGGACAGGAAGCGGTGTTAACGTGGTGGAGTCGCGGAAGAAGCACCGGGAAGCGCCAGAGTCGAGGGTGAAGGAGAGCGCGGCAATGGCGGCCGGAGGCGAAGCAGCAACGGAAGCACCAAGGCTAAACAAAGCAGGGGATCCTACGCCTGACGCAGTAGGGGAGTCTAAGCTAGGCACACGTACACTAGGCAACAAGGGGTAATAAGACGGAAGCACACTAGAGTCATCAGCATACATCACATGCAGAGCAGTGACAATCTCATCCATATCCACATCAAAAATCGGAGCCCTACGACGAAGCAGACTGTGCCAGTCAGGGAGGTCGGGCGACGGGCCGAAACGCTGATGAAACAGGTCGTCCAGGCGACGGAAACAGCGGACGGAGGTGTGACCGATCTTACCGTAAACGAAGCCACGGCGAGGACCGCTCTGGAGCAGGTACTGACAGCACACGTCACCCGAACCACCACGCAGCAGCCCACCACGCACACCACCACCACGTCCAGCGCTACCACCAGCGCCAGGCCACCCGGGCGGGAGCCCACTCGCCTGTCTCTGCTGCGGCTGCGACTGCTGCGGCTGCTGCAACTGCTGCGATCGCTGCGGCTGCTGCCACGGCTGCGGCTGACGCGAGTCCGGCTGCAACACCGGCGGCTGCGGAGACGGCTGCTCGGCTGCACCTGTCAGGGTCCCCTCGTCCGCACCGCCACCAGGAGACCCAGCTCCAGCACCACCGACACCTGCACCCCCACCCCCGCCGCCACGCCCAGCCTTGGGGCAGCGACCCTTCCCCGGACGGACCTGTGCAGCAGCGGCAGTCTCAGCCACAGCAGCAGAACCGTCGGAGAAGGTGCACTGAGCAGGGGCGCAACCCTAAAAGATAGGGACCGGCACAGTACCGCTGGTCTGAGCGCGGTGGCGGGCCTCTATAGCGGACAGGTTGTCAACAAAGTCAGTGAGGGTGAGGTCTGCGGGGTGGACGCTAAGGAAGCGGTCATGAGCAGTGGCAAGACGGTCAGGGAGGCGGGTGGCTAGCAGGTAGAGAGTAGAGGTGAGGGGCGGCTGGTGGGCTAGAAGCTGTGTGGGAGTGCAGGCAGCACGACAGGTCTCGTCTATAGTGCGCAGGTGAACTGCCAGGTCGGCGATAGTGGGGAACGACGCAAGGTCATGGAAGAGCATGGGGAAGATCAGACGACCGACCGAGGCAGCAGGCGGGGTGGAATAGCGCTAGACAACAGCATCTAGGAAAGCCTGGGCAGTGGTGATACACCTGAAGCGTGGTCGCTTGGACAGGGGGAGGGCATTGCTAATAGCCAGCTGTGCGACAGCGTCACGGGACAGCCAGACAGGTAGCCCTGTGCGAGCAAGGGCAGCGGCCGCAGTGGACTTACGCTCAGCGGACGAGGGGTCAGGAGACAGTGCAGCGGGGGGGTCAGGGCAGGGGAGGGTACCATCAAGATGGACAGACAGCGAGTGACCATCCTGCCGCTGACCAGTGAGATGGCGACGGAGGTCAGCAAGCCACGCATCAAACTCCATCGGCTGGCCCTCAGCGTCAAAGCGAAGCACCTCCGCCATCAGTGACAATAGAGGGCAATGTCGGGCAGTACAGTGCGGTGCAGGGCGGTGCAGTGCGGTGCAGTGCAGTACAGTGCGGTACAGTGCGGTACAGTGCGGTGTAGTGCGGTGCAAAGCGGTTCAGTGCGGTGCAAAGCGATGTAGTGGGGTAAAGCGGTGCAGTACGGTACCGGGGGGTTTGCAGGGCGGTGCTGGTCGGGAAGAACGGGCCAAACCCGAGGCGGCGGTGGGCCGGCGACGACGCGAACGCAGGGGCCGGCCGGCGGACAGCGGACACTAGGAGCCAGCAAACGGCGGCAATGGGGACCGGCTAGGAGCTGGCGCAACGGCGAGTAGAGACGGCCGCGACGGTGAGGAGACACGGCCGCGGCGGCGGCCAGGGACGGCCGCGACGGCGGCTAGGGGCGGCCACGACGGCAGGAGCGGCGTGACGGCGGCTAGGGGCGGGCACGACGGCTGGTGGCGGCCGTGGCAGCGAGTGGGTCGGCTAGGGGCGGGCGCGAACGGCCAGGGCGCCGGCTAGGGGCGGGCACGACGGCCAGGGGGCCGGCTAGGGACGGGCGCGACAGCCAGGGGGCCGGCTAGGAGGGGCTCGACGGCCAGGGGGGGCCGGCTAGAAGCGGGCGCGACGGCCAGGAGGCCAGCTAGGGGCGGGCGTGTACGGCCAGGGGGCCGGCTAGGGACGGGCGCGACGGCCAGGGGGCCGGCTAGGGACGGGCGCGACGGCCAAGCGGGCGCGACGGCCAGGGGTCCAGCTAGGGGCGGGCGCGAACGGCCAGGGGGCCAGCTAGGGGCGGGCGCGAACGGCCAGGAGGCCGGCTAGGGACGGGCGCGAACGGCCAGGGGGCCGGCTAGGAGGGGCGCGACAGCAGGGGGCCGGCGAGAAACGGGCGCGACGGCCAAGGGGGCCAGCTAGGGGCGGGCGCGTACGGCCAGGGGGCCGGCTACGGACGGGCGCGACGGCCAGGGGGCCGGCTAGGGGCGGGCGCGAACGGCCAGGGGGCCGGCTAGAAGCGGGCGCGACGGCCAGGGGGCCAGCTAGGGGCGGGCGCGAACGGCCAGGGGGGCGGCTAGGGACTGGCGCGACGGCCAGGGGGCTGGCTAGGAGCGTAGGGGCGGAAGCGTGAGCGGGCCAGGGGGGGATCTAACCTACTATGATACCATATTAGAAAGAATAATTGAACTAGAATCTGTGAGTACAAGGATATATAGACTAGGGTGTTGTACCCTCTAAGGCACAATCCAATATAGTCTACAGTAACGACCTAAGTTACATTTGACACAATGCACATAATTCCGTCAGAATTTCTGGATTAGAATGCATGAATTGAATCAATGCAGCAGATTAGCATTCATGTCAAGTCCATCTTCCCTTTGCCACTCGGATACGTAGTCGAGGGATATACCAGACCAGAACCCCGTTCATCGAGCAAAAAATGGTGCCCCGTCTCGTCCTGTCCTTCGATCCTTTCCCTTTGAGCAGCCTTCTGCTAGCTCCTGAACCAGAGGTTTCATGCCTGCTGCAATTGTAACTTTGTAATGGAGGGAACGCGGAATGGAACGAATTTCACTCGCTTTGCTTCCCCAGGTGTCGAATAAGCAGCTTCACATCTTCCCGTAACTTTGTAACAGCTGCAGCATCCACGCCTTTAGCTGCGTTCTCCAGTTCTTCTGCTGACGCTTTTCCAGGGGTTGATGCAGATGCTGTCTCGCAGAGGGCCTTTGCTATAGCGAGTACATACACTCCACAGTCGTAGCCGTTCAATTGCTGTGGTGTAGATGCGGATTGGAAAGTATCAGGAGTCACAGACACACCTGAGACCAAACGAGGACAGGAACAGGGTAATGGAAACGTAGAGGAAGAAAATAGTGACAAAACGTAAGAGGGGAAGAAAGGAAGCATGAAAGGGCAAAAGACTGAACACATCAGCAAAAAAATACATTTCAAACAAGAGCAACCCTACACCAAAAGCACCAGCACAGTAGCGTACTTAAGAGGGATAGAAGCTTTGCAGCGAGTCCCTTCCGTTTGCCGCTGAGATTGTGTGTGGATGTACACAACGCAGTGTTTGTACATTGAAACTTTGAAACACACCTGTACCAACACGCACCTAAGAGGGCTTGAAGCTTCTCAGCAAGTCCCTTGGCAGCCTCGAGATTGTGAGAGCCGGCACTGTCAAAATGAAGGAATAGGCGGCGAGACCTGCGACGGGGGTAGTTGAAACGGGGGTGATTGAAACGGGGTGGATTGGATGAGGTGATGCTTGAAGATGGAAGACCTCGTGAACAGATTGTGAGAACCGGCACTGTCAAAATGAAGGAATAGGCGGCGAGACCTGCGATGGTGCAATCAAAGGTTAATGGGAAAGGCGATGGATGGAGATGGGGAATTGGTGAATGGATAGTGCGAGGCAGCATTTTCGACGGGAAAAACACTGGTGGTAACACCTGAGTGCCAATTGCTCCAGGTGGATTGCACTACCGTTTCAAGTGCAGTCCACATTAGTACTAATAGTAGTGCATCTCATAAACAACACCCAGCACCAACATTGGCCCACCTTACGAAGAGCAGCAGACTCCAATGCGAGCCTGCCTCTGCGAGTGTGGGGTCGTTGTTGTCGTTGACTGCCAGAGCTATGAGCTGCAATGGGGCAGCGGTCGCGGACAGAAGGAGATAATGTATGAAACGGTGAATGGGGATGACACCGAACTGAATGTGAGGGGGTCGTTGTTGTCGTTGACTGCCAGAGCTATGAGGTGCAATTGGGCAGCGGAAGCGAACGGAAGGAGATAGTGCATGAGGCGCAGAATGGGGATGATACCGAAGGTGATGGGGTGGGGGCTATGAGCTGCAGTGGAGCAACGGGCGAGGAAGAAGGAGACAATAAGCGCACAAAACATCGGTATGGGATCACTGATCTTGACAGTCACTGCGAGAGCTATGAGCTGTTGCTGAGAATAATTGAGACGGATTTTATTCGGGAAATGTGGAGCGATGAGGCGCTGTTGTTTGTTGAATGCCAGAGCCATGCCAGGCGATGTGACAAATACGAGGGCGAAATGTGATGAGATGGGGCTGGATGGAATGCGATGGGATTGAATGGGATGTGATGGGATTGAATGGGATGTGAGGAATGTGATAAGAATTCTGCTGCCAATCAGTACGAGGGGTATAAGCTGCAATGTGGCGGCATGGACAGCATACTCCCAGCATACTCCACTATCCAATTGCCATGCCTCCTTGTCTTCCACTCCCATTGGTGCCATGGCCTCTGTGACGTCATCTTCACTCGCATATGTAACATGATTTCATTGTCTACTGGAGTAACAGTCAGAGCGACGTCACCCTCACGATCAACAACAGAGCCAGCCAGCATCAGCATCATCGTCATCCACACATACAGAACCAGCATCGTCATCGTCATCATCATCATCATCATCATCATCGTCATCATCATCATCATCATCGTCATCATCATCGTCATCATCGTCATCATCGTCATCATCATCATCATCATCAGCATCATCATCATCATCATCATCATCATCATCATCATCATCATCATCATCATCATCATCATATCATCATCATCATCATCATCATCATCATCATCATCATCATCATCATCATCATCATCATCATCATCATCATCATCATCATCATCATCATCATCATCATCATCATCATCATCATCATCATCATCATCATCATCATCATCATCATCATCATCATCATCATCATCATCATCATTCATCATCATCATCTCATCATCATCATCATCATCATCATCATCATCATCATCATCATCATTATCCACAAATACCCCCCAACAGTCTTACCTCCTTGTCCTCCACCCCCAGCGGAGCCATGGTTTCCGTGACGTCGTCATCACTCGCATCGCATATGTGGAGTGGAGTGACGTCATCATCATACCGTCAGCAATAGAACCAGCCAGCATCACCATCATCCGCACACCCCCCAACAGTCTTACCTCCTTGTCCTCCACCCCCAGCGGAGCCATGGTTTCCGTGACATCGTCGTCACTCGGACAGATATTCAGCCAAAACGAAACGGACGGCCCCACCAGCAGCACGGCACTGCTACCCTCCCCACCCGCAGCAGCACCACCAGCAGCAGTAGCAGAACCAGCACCGTTGCTGCTGCTTGCTCCCCCCGCGGTGCTGCTACCCGCGCTCACGCCAGCGCCAGCGGCGGAACCAGCAGCGGGGGCGTCGGAGGAACCGGCGCCGAGGAGAGTGCGCGAGAGGTACTCGAAGTAAAACTCAATGACCTTGTCGTTGAGCCACTGGCTCGGCTCCAGCGTGGCGACGTCGCACTCGCGCAGCAGCACGTCGCCGAAGCTCAGCACCTTCGCATCCATTGGCGGGCGACGTCGAGGGTGCGACAGTAACGGGTGACAGTGCCGAACGTGATAATGATGAGGAGAACGATCCGGATGGTGCTTGAAGAATCCGGCAAATCTCGTTATGGAACGTCTCAAAACGAAATTACTAATTTGGCAAGAAGAATGAAAGAACGGAGAGAGAAGAGCGGATAATTCTCCAAGATGTTAATGGAAATTGCGATGAAAGAACGTGGTGAATGTGATGTTGCCGGCAGGCCAGCGCAGTCGACTCCTACAGCCGAGAACAGGCTCTTCCGGCGAGGAATCAAGCGCGGAATTATGTACACGTGTCACGATTTGAGCCGGACTGTGAGGTACGAGAAGTATCTGTAAGGCGAGGACTGCGAAAGTCAATTTCGACCTGGCAGCGAAACACCACTCTCAGCACTGTCACTAGGACACCGAAAGCTACTCCCACCGGCTGACTCTCTGTTTCTGGGCGCCGCTCCTGTCCCGTGACAGCTGTGATACGACTCACGCTCTCACTCCTCCCACTGTTCCTTGCTGGTATATCGTGGTGAGGTGAACGGATAAGGTGGTGCGTGCTGAGCTGACGGGCAGGAATGTAGCCGATGATGATGACGATGATGATCAGCTGGTGGTAGGTGGAATTCCGTATCCTCGACTGGAGCGGACTCGATACGAGCATTCCGTAGTGAGAAATGCAGTTTTCCATCAGAGACTTGAGAGGTTCAAATTTCGTTCATACCGGAAAATCATGAGTGGTTTGAAACGACATGACAATACTGCTATCCAGAGGCGTAATAACGAGTCAAATTTCAGCCAGTTGTACTCATCTGTTCCTGTTGTTCTCACCAGCCTCAGGTTATGTTCAGTTCCTGTTGTTTTCATTGCTGGTCAGCCAGCCGACGCAGGTACAATTAGGAGACGGTCAACTAATGTAGCTGCGATTTTCCTGCTGACTCCCATATGGTCGCCATATTCTTTATTTCGCCTTACGCCAGTGCGACCCCGCTCTAATTGGCTGGCGTTCGGTTTTCATGTTTTTTACGAGAATTCTCAGAAATTCGCACCGAAATTTCATGCGCACTTCCTCAAGCGTTCTCGCAAACAGGTTTCGAATAACCGGTCAATAACATATCGATCAAGGGTCTTCCCGCCTTCTCATATCAACTTCCAGCTAGAAGCATGCCAGATTGTGAATTCCTTCCCTAGAGGCCGAGATGATAAAGAACTTCCCTCTCTGTCAGTGAATCGCAATTCGTAGCTGCGACCATGCCGCCGCGTCGCGTCAAGATCAAGGGCCTCCCCTCCGCGCGTCCCTCCCCCATCAGTCCCCTCGCTCGCTCCGCCTCTCTCACCTCCGCCTCCTCCCCCGCCGTCTCCGCCTTTGTCGGCGTCCTCGGTCGCTACCGTCGCCTGCTATTGGTGCTCATACTGCTGCTGCTGTCCAACGTCGCAGGGTACTACTACCCGGTGCTCTGGTCGCCAGCGCGCCGTGCGACGCTGCTGGCGACGCGTGCGAAGCTGTCGCACTGGTGGGCGAACGTGTCGCAGCCCCTGCAATCGCTGGGCAAGGACGCGGATTACGAGCTGAGGAGAATCATTGTCAGCGATGAACCGCGACCTGATGAGCAGGGGCTTAGCAGATCGGACGGTCGACAGCATCGCGGCGCTAGATTTCAGCCGTTGGATTCACCAAGCCCTGTTACCCCTGGGTCTCTTCCAAACCTCTCGCAGGGAGCGGAAGGGCTGGGGTCAGGGGGGCTGGGAACGTGGTTGACACGAGCTGAGGACTCGCAGCACGTTAGAGACATCCCCGTTACAGTGTACAAGAAAGGGAAAAGAACAGTACCAAAAGAAGTGGCGGGAGGGGAAGCAAGCAGCGGATTGGATCGACCAAGAGAGGGAGAGAAAGAGCAGGGAGGGCAGGGAGGGCAGCGAGGAGAGAGAGTGGTGGGTCTAGAGACGAAAGGAGATGGCGGGAGGAGAGGAGAAGATGAGTTGAGAGAGGGACAGGAGGGGGAGGTGGGAGGGGCACGGGCGGATGATGTACACGTGGAGCAGCTGGATTGGCAGAGAGAGTACCTGGAGGACGTGGCGATTAGGGTTTCCAAGGAGAAGATGTGCAAGGGGATATTCCCCAAGGGTCTTGCCAAGGAGGAGGTCGAGGAGAAGAGGTACGCTGGGGGCTGTTGAGCTGCCTCCAGGTGACCATTTCGTACGTAGATCAAAGAAAAAAAACTTAATACAAAGACATCAGTCCACGACCTGCTGTGCCACGCCTTCCACTTCTCATGCTCTCCTTCCTCCCTCCACCCCCGTTTCCTCCCTTACTTGCACCCCCGTTTCCACCCTCCCCCGTTTCCACCCTCCCCCGTTTCCACCCTCCCTCGTTTCCACCCTCCCTCGTTTCCACCCTCCCTCGTTTCCACCCTCCCTTCCACTCCCCTCCTTGTTCCAACCAGCCTGTCCGTTTCCCACCTGGCCCACCTCTCGCGCCCCTCTCTCCGCTCGTTCGTCCTCCTCGCCCGACACGGGCTGGGCAACAGCCTGCGTGGCTTCGGCCCTGCCTTTGTCTTCGCCAGACTAGGAGACAGACAGCTGGTTAGGTTGCACACGGGCGAGCATCACACAGTGTACGACCTGCTGTGCCACGCCTTGCACCTCACGTTCCCTCCCTCCTCCCTTTCCACTCCCCTACCTGTGCTCTTCCCCCCCCCTCCCCCGCCCCCTTGGAAAACAGCAGCCAGCCTATATCGCGTCTATCCCACTTATCCCGGCCGTCCCAGCGCTCGCTCGTCTTCCTGGCACGCCACGGGCTGGGCAACAGCCTGCGCGGCTTCGTCTCGGCCTTTGTCTTCGCCAGACTAGGGGGCCGGCAGCTGGTGAGGTTGCATGCGGGCGAGCACCACAAGGTGTACGACCTGCTGTGCCACGCCTTCCACTGCGGCTTCCATGCCGTCAGATGGGGGGGTCTGGGGGGGACTGGCGGGGCGGGAGAGGCGGGGGGTGGAGGGGGAGGCGGAGGGAATGGGACGGATGAGGGTGGAGGGGAAGGAGAAGGGATGCTGCTGCCGATGGAGCTGTACCGGCGGTTCAACGAGATGCAGCCCAAGTACCTGCTGGAGAGCATCAAGCGCTTGCCAGGTGGGTGGGTGTTTGGTTGTCTCTTCAGTCAGTCAGGTGGGTGTTGGGTTGCCACTTGGCACAGGCAGCAACAGCAGCAGCAGCAACAGCAGCAGGGGCAGCAGCAGCAGCAGGGGCAGCAGCAGCAGGAGGGGGCATGCTTTACCGATGGAGTACCTGCTGGAGAGCATCAAGCGCGTGCCAGGTGGGTTTTTAGGCGCCTTGCTGGTAACTGGGTTTAGAAGATGTGACCCAACGAGCACATGTGACCCAACGAGCTAAGTGGGCAAATTCGTTGGGGTCCCCCAGCGTTTTGCGTAAATTCGTAAGCGTAAATTCGCAAACGCGAATTTACCTGAAATTCGCGAAACGCTGGGGGAAAATTTTTGGGGCAGCCCGGACAAAAAAACACGAATTTCCCAACTCGATTCGCGGCGACTTGGCGAAGCCATCCGTGGCCTCGCCAATTCGCGATTCTAACTTTTGAACCTCCAAAAATGCTCCAACCCCTCCCACGCTCCCAACCGCATCAAACCCCACCACATCTAGAGAACCCAACCCATCCACCACCCAACTTACGCAACCATATCACGCACGCATCTCACACGCTACTCTACCAGACGTAGAGTAGATCTAGCTTATCACTCCGCGTCATAGCTAGAAGATCTAGTTTAAGCATAGACATTAGCTTACCTCATGAGTATGGTTCATCATCTTGCTGTCGGTTGCTGCAGGGCTGTTAATGCAAAGGATACCCCCCAAACTCTAGAACATGCTATTGCCATAAACTTTGAGAAGCAATAATAATTTTCTGCTAAAAAGAGTTGCCCTGAAACCCCCCACGCCCCCCCTACCTGGGAACTTTTTTTTTGGGCCTGCCCGGGCATTTTTTTCCTGCCCGGGCAGAACGAATTTCCCAACGAATTCAAAACAGGGCCCTGGCGTTCGAGCGAATTTACGCCAGCGTAAATTCGTTAGCGAATTTACGCGAAACGCGAATTTTCCCACTTAGCCAACGAGCACATGTGACCCAACGAGCACATGTGACCCAACGAGCACATGTGACCCAACGAGCACATGTGACCCAACGAGCACATGTGACCCAACGAGCACATGTGACCCAACGAGCGTGACCCAACGAGCACATGTGACCCAACGAGCACATGTGACCCAACGAGCACATGTGACCCAACGAGCACATGTGACCCAACGAGCACATGTGCCCCCAGGACCCAACGAGCACATGTGACCCAACGAGCACATGTGACCCAACGAGCACATGTGACTCTGTTGCCCCAACTGTGCAAGTCAGGCCCAACTTACAAGCACTACACGTAGTCAGGCCAGTCTTACACGTACTACATGTAGCCAGGCCAGTCTTACACGTACTACATGTATTCAAGGCCCATCGTACGTGTAGTCAAGCTTGTGGCTCATGCCTGAATGATTCTGTCTATGTGTGTCCGCACATGTATGTGACTTATTGCCTGATTGCAGCCATGGGGGATGCCCTCGCCTCACCTCACCCCATCATTGGGGCTCGCACTAGCTGTCACTTCAAAATCTTGGTGTCATCTGTGGCTCATGGCTGTGTGATTCTGTGCATGTGTGTCTCTACATGCATACATTCTGTCCCTGACTGCAGCCATGCGGGATGCCCTGGCCTCCTCTCACCCCATCATCGGGGCTCGCACCGGCTCATACTTTGACCTCTTCTGGCACCGCAACGACACTCTCAGGGACTGCGTCTATGCTGCATTCAGATGCAGGTGAGTGAGTTGCTGCATTCAGATGCAGGTGAGTGAGTTGCTGCATTCAGATGCAGGTGAGTGAGTTGCTGCATTCAGATGCAGGTGAGTGAGTTGCTGCATTCAGATGCAGGTGAGTGAGTTGCTGCATTCAGATGCAGGTGAGTGAGTTGCTGCATTCAGATGCAGGTGAGTTAGACCATGCTACCTCAAGTAGTCTGTGCTGTATGCGGCTGTCTTACATGACATGTAACCATACCAGCTAGGGCTCGCACTTCGACCTCTTCTGGCACCGCAACGACACGCTTAGAGACTGCGTGTATGCCCCATTCAAGTGCGGGCACGCTCCCTGTATATTCTCTCAAGACTTTTCAGGATTTGATTTTCTGTTCGCCCTCTGTGGCCCACTACCTGTTTCACTCTCTTACTCCCGCAGTATTACGATCCTGACTGCTCCTTAATGTGTAAATATTTTACACGGTATCGTTTAACCTTCGCTATTTGTGATATTCTGCTCTCCAAGCACCATGGCTGAAGCAGTGTCCGACTGCATTAGTGCACTCTGATCTCCCTCATTTCCTGTCACCCCCCCTCACTCCCCCACTCACTCCCCCACTCACTCCCCCACTCACCCCTCCACTCACTCTCTCACTCTTCCTCACTCTCCCCCGTTTCCCACAAATGCACACGCCTTCAGCTCCCTCTGGTGCGTGCATTCCCGGGCCATGTATGCTTTCATCGGCCAAAGGGGTCCTTCCAAGAAGCTTCTCGCCACCATCACGTCCATCCTCCACCGGTCCCCACCTCCCCTTTCTTCAGCTTCGCTCTCCTCTTCCATTCTTCCTGCTGCTGCTAATTCTGCGAATGCTGGTGGTGCTGATGCTGCTGCTGGTACTGGCAAAGTTGCAACAACCACCGAAGCCACCTCAACCTCCCCTTCATCCTCCATTCCCGCTCTCCCTCCGTTCTTCCTCCCACCATCCAAGAAGGCTGTAGCTTTCTTTGACATTGCCTTACACGTGCGAACTCGCTCCCTGGCAATTGAGAAATCGGTGAAGAGGGATACTGAGGAGTACCTCAAAGGGGAGTGCGAGGACTGGGACCGAGCCGCAGTGGTTCGGCCGCCGTACCTGCGCACGTGCTTGTGGGCGTGCATCGGGCATCTGGTTCGGGAGCTGAAGCCAACCCTGCTGCAGCAGCGGAGGCAGGCGGAAAAACGGCTAAGGAAAGAAGGGTCACAGGAGGGGGAGAAGGGAAGAGGAGAGGCTGGGGGGCGAGAAGGGGAGCAGGAAGGGGTAGGAGAGGAGGACGAGGAGGGAGATGATGGAGATTTGAACATATTTTTGGCTACAGATGATGTGGAGCATAGGATGGAGTTTGTGGCTCTATTGAAGCCGCACGGAGTGGTGTATTTCTCAGCCGGCGATATCTACCACACGTCTAAGGCCAGCCCTGGCAGCCTCGATAGAGGCCTCCCCACTATGGCAGAGTTCTTTATGATGAGTAAGTCTCGGGCTATTATCGAGGCTGGGCCGTATATAAGCACTTTTGCTTATTTTGCTGCTTTGGCTGGCAATGGGACACTTGCTGGGGTTAGTACTCAGAATGGGGGTTGTCAGTTGAGACCTGAACACCTTGCGTGGTAAATATGCAACAACGGCTGCATTTTGTCTGCGATATATCTACGGCATATAATATATAATTGTCTACATGGCAAAACCATGTGTAACTCTCTCCATCGCTGCTGTGAAGTACGGGCTCAATACCTTACAGCACCTTGCATCAATAATATAATATACCCGTAGCATCGTGTTGATACATCAATCAAATACACTACACAGCAATTCTCTATCACAACCTAGACTTGGACTTCTCGTCTCTAGCCCCATTAGGCAGCGGTACAACTGTCAGCCGCCCCACTGCCAGCAGCAGCCCAGCTTTGGGAGCAGCTGACCGCAGCACATGCGGCGCACTAGCCTCTGATGGGTCTCTGGTTTGTGAAGGGTCTCTGGTGTGTGATGGCTCTTTGCCTTGCCTCTGCTCGTCGTGCCACAGGTCGTCGTTGTGCGCCTGTTCCTCTTGCTCCCCAACAGATAAGCGCACCTCCCACACCTGTTAGGCCATGAACAGTGGGTGGGCGAGCGGACGTGGAAGGCTGAGTCCAATGTGACAAGTGATGGCGTCAACGCGCGAGAAGCGCAGCGAGGAGAGCTGGACGAGTGGGAGAGTGGAAAGAGCACAGCAATGGTAAGAGCGGGGAGACCATGTCAACTTATACATATTAGCTATGTAGAAGTTATAGGCTAGATTGGGGTATGCTTCTAGCTCTCCCACTTCTAGCCTATAACACGCACAGCAATGGTAAGAGCGGGGAGACCACCCCGAAGTAATGGTACTGAAGGAGTGGGAGACCACCCCGAGTCAGTGGACATTCCTTATTGAACCTGGCGTTACCACCTGAAAACATCTCCTACCTGAACGGTGCGCCCCACTCGCAGGGGGATGGCCACAGCGAGAACAGGCGTGTTGAGAGGGCATAGCCTGAGATGTCTGGTTGTCACTTCCACCCCTGCCACTGGCGAGCCCTCAAGCTGCCACGCTCTCTCTATACGCGAGGCACCTGAAAGGAAGCAGCACTGCCTACCTCATGGTCCCTACCTGCACGGTGCGCCCCACCCGCAGAGGGATGGCGACAGCAAGAACGGGAGTGTTGAGCCGGCACGGCCTGAGATGGCTCGTTGTCACTTCCACGCCTGCCACTGCCCCCCCCGCTGCCAGGCTCGCTCCCACGCTGCCCAGGGACTCGGTGATTAAAGCTGACACCCCTCCATGCACGTTGTTGAAGGGCTGAGAGGGAGCGAGGGCGGGTAGAGGAGGACAAGAGTTGATGTGAAATTTCATCGCTCCCACCCTGCCTAGAGACTCGGTGATTAGGGCTGCTGACACGCCCTCCATGCATGTTGTTGACGGGCTGAGAGGGAGGGGAACACGAGGAAGCGGAAGAAAGAAGGTTTTAATCCACATGCATTCGTGCTCTGAACCTTGCTCATCACACTGCCTAGGGACTCGGTGATCACAGCTGATATGCACGGCTGAACCTGCATGTGGCTGAAGGGCTGAGAGGGAAGAAGGGTGGGTAGTGGATGACAAGAGTTGATGTGAGATTCCATGCTCGCTTGCACACTGCCCAGGGGCCTGGTGATCTGGGCAAGACATGAGCAAAAGCGATGCGATATTATATCGCATCGCATTTTGTTATGTCGCCCGACGCATCGCGCGATTTTTCTTCTTCTTCGAGATTCGGGTTAATCACACATCGCATAATGGGCGTGACATATATGAATATCGCATTTTACAGCACGCGACGCAATATAACAGCTCATCGCATCAGTGAAGACGGAAAAAAAAAAACGTGACTTAGACCAAAAAACGAAATGCCATTCCCCCATCTGCTTGCTGGCGAATTTTCGCGCTGCGGTGGAAAAATATCGCATGCGATATTGTTTTATCGCATATCGCATTTTGCTGCATAAACCGGGCGCGATAAAAGTGCAATAAAAGAATGGCCGATTGATCAAGGCTGGCAAACCTTCATGTAGGGGCTGAAAAAAGGGTTGGGGGGAAGAAAGTTGGGGTGTTGAAACGAGGGATGTTGAAACGTGGGGTGTTGAAACGTGGGGTGTTGAAACGAGAGGTGTTGAAACGTGGGGTGTTGAAACGAGAGGTGTTGAAACGTGGGGTGTTGAAACGAGAGGTGTTGAAACGTGGGGTGTTGAAACGAGAGGTGTTGAAACGTGGGGTGTTGAAACGAGAGGTGTTGAAACGTGGGGTGTTGAAACGTGGGGTGTTGAGGAGAATGAGTCCCTACCTGTGCTGACGCAGGGGACGAGATAAAGGTAGCGACGACACGTCGAGGAGAGGCGACGAGGAAGCGGAGGCCAAGGAACTTGTGGATGGGGAGGCTGTTGAAGCGAGGAGTGTCGAACACAGCGGTGTTGACTTGCGCTGGCTCCAATTCCAGTTCGCTGTGCAACATACGGGCAAGTGAACCTTCCCTCCCTTCCTCTCTGCTCCCTTGTTCCTCTTCCCGCCCCTCACCTCCCTCCTCTCCAGCCTTCTCTAGTCCACCCTCCCTCCGACCATTCCGGTGGCCCTCCTCCTCCCCTTCTCCACTCCTCCCCCCATTCTCCCCCATTGCATGCCCCTGAGGCAACGGCACACATGTGAGTCGCCCCACTGCCAGCAGCTGCCCTGCCCTCGGCCCTCCTCTCTTGGTTTCACGATGCTCAAGCGCCAGCGGGTGCCCTGGCCTTGAACCTCCTCTCTTGCGATCAGGCGATTCGAGCGCTGGCAGCTGCCCTGGCCCTGGACCAGCGCTTCTACCTTCAGGGGACTCGGTGCCCCGCAGCTCGCTGGCCGATGATGTCTCCCCCGTTCCATTCTGCACTTTCACGTTAAGGCTTGTCTCCTCTCCCTGTACCAAATCGCTCTCTCTACCTACGGAAAGGCGGACCTCCCACACCTGAGTGGACATATGTGGGTGTACAGGGAGATAAGATGGAGGCATACAAGGCGATTAGGGGCACTCAGCTCACACCAGAGGATAAAAGGCTGAACAGTGCGGCAACTCTCATAGGAGTGCCAAGAGCAGGACGAGGTGCGCAGGTAGGCACTGCTATGAGATGGTAGGCACTGCGATGAGATGGTAGGCACTGCTATGAGATGGTAGGCACTGCTACGAGATGGTAGGCACTGCTACGAGATGGTAGGCACTGCTACGAGATGGTAGGCACTGCTATGAGATGGTAGGCACTGCTATGAGATGGTAGGCACTGCTATGAGATGGTAGGCACTGCTACGAGATGGTAGGCACTGCTACGAGATGGTAGGCACTGCTATGAGATGGTAGGCACTGCTATGAGATGGTAGGCACTGCTATGAGATGGCATCATGAAAAGCCCACATATCTGGGAAGCTAGCCACCACAGTTGAAGCAATTTTTGAGAAAATACAAACATATCCAGGCAGCAAGCTAGCTAGTACACATCCCTACACAGCACGTGCATGCAGCTGAACAGTTCGACAAGACAGCAACTCTTATTGAAGCAGTATGCACCACCCAATGTGCCAGGAAAGGTGCGCCAAGTGGCACAGCGAACAACAGCAACAATGTGATCGCATGCGACCTCCCTGAATGTGTGTTGAATCGAATTAGAAAACAGCGCATCAAACATGCACGCACACACACACACACACACACACACACACACCTGCACAGTGCGGCCGACTCTCAAGGGCGTGCCGACAGCAACAACAGGAGTGCCGATAGGCGCTGGTCTTAGATGACTGCACGCCACCTCCACCCCCACCACTGCACCACCAGCCGCCACTGCAGCGCCCAGACTGCCCACTGCCTCTGTTATCAGCGCGGACACACCCCCGTGCAGATTGCCAAATGGCTGAATAGGATGAGAGGGGGAGGGGGGAAGGTGGAGGATGGAGTTGACACATCATGAACATTAGTAACAGTGCGTTTGTTACCAGCGTTGAAACCCAAAACCCCCCCCCTCCCCCATCCCCTCCCCCTCCGTGAAGAAAGCCGAATTGCTGGAGCAAAGGGGCTGACCGGATGGCCGGTTGCGGAAATGAGAGTGGGGGAGGAGGGAGTTGGAAGGGGAGGGAGGAGAGGAGACTGCTTTTGAGTCGAATCAAAAGGGGCTGACTGGAGGGCCGGTTGCGGCAATGTGAGCGGGGGAGGATGGAGTGGGAAGGGGGAGAGAAGAGGAGACGAGGGTAGCAGGAGAGGAGACGAGGGTAGCAGGAGAGGATTCGAGAAAGGGGTGATGACGGGTGAGCGAGAGGAGGAGGGTTGATAACGGGCGGGGGTGGGGGGTCCCTACCCTACCTGTGCGGACTGACGGGACGAGACGAGCGTGGCGACGACGCGATCGGGGGAGGCGGAGAGGAAGCGGAGGCGGAGGAATGAGTGCACGGGAAGACCGCTGAACCCGGCGAGCTCGGCTGCTGTTAGCGACCGTCGCGCCGGTTCAGGTCGGCTGGATGGTTTTTGAATCGGTTCAGTTGAATTGGATGGCTTCAGAGTTGGTCCAGAAGCCACCTTCGATCCATTGAGCTCGGCTGCGGTTAGTGATCGTCGCGCCGGTTCAGGTCGCTTGAATGGATACGAGGGTGCCATTTACAAGCATGTGGAGCAGTCTAGAAGAAATTATGACTCCTAAACGAGTGGATTTGTAGCGAGGCCTGCCTCAAGTGAGACGAGTAGTGTGTCCGTTGCTGGGAAAATGAAGGCGAATGGACGAAAAGCTCCTGTGCATAACTTAGTCGCTCCAATTAAAACTGGGCGTTCGTGCCGCCTTTCAAGGGAAGGGGATTGCGATTCGAAGCTAAGGGATAGGGCTTCGGGAACTGCAGGCAGCAGTACTGGAGGCGCTGCTGTAAACACTATTCCCGTTTTGAACACGCTGCTAACATGTTGATAAGGCGGGTTCCAGGCCTCATCTACAGAACAGACCCTTATAAAGTTTCCTTACGTGCTTATGAGACTATAATAAGCAAAAACAAATTGCACACAAGGACTAAGGGCAACTTTGTTGATTTTCCAGTCCAAAGCTTACATGCTAAGACTACATAATACGAAAATAATTCACGACACGTTTTACGCGAATCTCATCCCTCTCTGGCCTCTAGGTCGCTAACAACGCTTAGAGCTGACTTCAACTCTCCAAACTCAGCAAGGTCAGAGAAAAGGTCTCCCTGCCAACAAAAATGAAAAAAAACAGGGACGCAGGGGAAAGCTTGATGGGGAACATGCTTGGCAAAAACAAGAAAAGGAAATACATAGCTCACTTAGTCCAACAACTTCAAGCGAAGGCTATCTGACATACGGTAACCACTCCAACATTACCTGCTTCACAATGTTGCTCAGAAGCAAATTTTAGAGTCGACTCAAAAGTCAGCTCATTCCAACATTACCTGCTTCACAATGTTGCTTAGAAGCATGCGCACAGATGCCAATCTCCTCCTGCCCGCACCACTCACTCTCACACCCTCCCCCTCTTTCTCCCCTCCTCCCCTCACTTCCTTCACCCCCTCTTCCCCCGCTACTCCCCGCACCACAGCCACTGTCCACCTCAGCGCCGCCTGCGCCAGCTGGCGGAACGCCGCTGGTTCGCCGTGCTGCCAGCTGGCGGACTGCAGTGCGCGCACGTGGCGCAGGAAGGCCTCGGCTGCCACGTCAGCGTCGCCCACCGCTTCCAGGAAGGTTCCTTGCAGGCGGTAGATCTCAGGCACACCTGCTCCTGACGCCACTGCCTGTTGATGGTAGTTTGAAGAGGTTGAGAAGTGTGGTGAATGGAGGGGAGGGGGAAACGGTGGTGGGTGGGGGGTTGAGTAGCAGTGGTGGTTGAGTGGTCTTGGTAGTAGGCAGATTACAGACACACCTGCTCCTTATGCCCCTGCCCTGGATAAGACTATTTGAAGTGACTATGGAAAGACAGCGTGGACAGGGGGAGGGGGGGTTGTGAGAAGGAATAATATACCGGTCCCTTCCCCTGTGAGGGGGGGTTGTGGACCGGTGATGAGAAGGAAGGGACGCTAGTACAAGAGGTTAGCAGCACCACTACAAAATCCCACCTTTCCCAGAAGCTTCCTCAGCTCAGATTCAAGCCTCATAGCCTCCCTTTCGTTCATGGGACCATCACTCCCCTCCTCCGCCCCACCATCCTCCTTATAAGCACCATTCGTTACAGGCACACCATCGCCCTCTCCCCCACTCTCCCCTCCCACCGCCTCCTCCCCCTGCCCCTCCCCCCCTGCCATCTTGCCCAGATCCAACGGCTGCAAATCCATCACCAGATCATCCAGCTCAGCAGCACCTCCAGTACCCCTCTCCGCCACTTTCTCCCCTCCCTCAGCAACGCCCCTCCCACTTTGCCCCTCCTCTCCCCTTCCACCTCCCTCCTCCTCCCCCCTCCCCCCTCGCCTACTCCTCTCCACCACCCCTATCAACCCTTCTAGCACACCCGTGTCGACCCTCTTCCCAGTGGTCAGCTCCAACACTCGTGCTGCCGCCCTTGTGGCCTGAGAGGGGGGAGCACCAGGAGAGGGGTAAGGGACGGGGAGAGGTGAGACGAGACGGAAGAGGTCGCACTCCTTCCCGCGTGCCGTTAGTCAGGTCCAACACTCGTGCTGCTGCCCTGGCGACCTGGGAGGGGGGGGCACCAGGAGAGGGGGAAAGGACTGGGAAGGGTGAGACGAGACAGAAGAAGTAGACACCCTGGCGTGAGACGAGCGAGGAAGAGTACTTCCTTGCTTGCCGTTAGTCAGGTCCAGCACCCTTGCTGCTGCTGCCCTGGCGGCCTGGGAAGAGGAGGCAGCATGAGGAGGGGGAAGGGACGGGAAAGGGTGAGACGGAAGAAGTAGCACTGCTTTCTTGCTAGCCGCTGCTCGAATCTAACACCCTTGCTGCTACTCTGGCCGCCTTTCGAGGAAACAGGAGGGCCGCGTACAGAAGGGGGCTTGACAAGAGGGGGAAGCGGGGGCTTGACATGAGGGGGAAGCGGGGGCTTGCCAAGAGGGGGAAGCGGGGGTTTGGAACGGTTGAGGAGGGGAATGTAGAGCATTGAGGGGGAAGCAGCATTGTCCACTCATACCCACAGCCAATCCTGAAAGCCAGAGGTGAAACGAAAATGCCCTCACCTGCTGCTTCCACTTCCCTCACCTGCTGGTAGCTCTTCACGTCTAGAGCCACCTTGGCAAAGTTCTCCCACAGGTGCCAATCGTCGCCCCTGCCATTGCATGGCCAAAACAAAAGGGGAAGGGCAGAGGGGGGAGGGGGGGCAGGGGAAAAGGGCACGGAGAGAAGGAATCGCTCAGGAGCGCAAGGTAGGTCTGCCTGCCCTCACGTGCGCTGCAGTGGAGTCATTGTTGAGAGTTCTCAAAAGTGGAAAGTGGAGAATCCTCAAAAGAGCACGGAGAGAAGGAATCGTTCAGGCATGCAAGGTCTGCCTGCACAAACGTGCGCTGCTCGCCCCTATGAGTGTGTGGCAGGGAAGAGGAGAGGATACAAGAGAGGAGGAATGCAGCGGTAAACATTCATAGCTGGACGTTTCTTCTGCATTGTTTCTGTGATGACACTTGTGACCGGTCTCCGTTACATCTCACTCCCCATAGTTTACGTCTCATCCCCTAGCGTTACAGCTCAGCCTCTAACGTTAGATCTCACCCCCTAACGTTACTTCTCACCCCCTTTCACAACCCGGCGTTGCATCTCACCCCCTAGCGTCACAACCCACCCACTTGCGTTACATCTCACTCACTTGTGCTTGAGTGCCTCCTGTAGTGTCTTGAACGCCTCAGGCATTCGGTTGCGCTGCAGGTTCCTGGGATGGCATGGCATGAGGGTTGAGTGGTGGAGCGAAAGTGAGCCGGAGGAGAGTGAGAGTAAAACCTCATGCATTCGGTCGCGCTGCAAGTTGACGGCATGGCATGGGGGTTAAGTGGGGAGTGGGAGTTGAAATCTCATGCATTCAACGGCGCTGCAAGTTGCTGGAAGGGCAGGAAGAGGAGAAGAAGAGTGAGAGCTGGCTGCTCTTGAGACAACTTAAAACTGCCAGCAATGCAATCGACAAAGAGCACAGCACTCACAGTACAGCCAGTTGTTCCACGCCTCCCCATTGCCAGGTGAAAGAATAAAGTAACCAGTTTGAGCTAAGCATGAGCTGAGCACTCACAGTACAGCGAGGTTGTTCCACGCCTCTCCATTGTCCGGGTCTATTTGGACTGAACGCGTGAGAGCGTAGAGAGCCTTGTCCCCGTCGCATGCCTGCAAGCAAGCAGATGAATGCAAATGCTTTCACACACGTTGGAAAGAATAGACAAATCAAGGTAATGTAACGTGTGTGAAAGCACACAGAGCCATGCCCCCATTGCCTGCCTGCGTGCACCTGCATGTGGGGCAGGGGACACATGGATGGATGCATGGTGATGGGGGAAACACATGTGTGAGAGCATACAGTGCCTTGTACCCCCTATGGCATGCCTGGACTGAACGAAGCATGTGCTGAACGAATGAGCGCATGTGGCTTCACTGTGTAGTGCAACTTTTGAGGCGCCTCAAAAGTCGTCTCTTTATCCGTGGTTTTGAGGCGCCTCAAAAGTCGTCTCTTTATCCGTGGTTTTGAGGCGCCTCAAAAGTCGTCTCTTTATCCGTGGTTTTGAGGCGCCTCAAAAGACATGGGCTGAACGAATGAGCGCATGTGGCGTCACTGTGTAGTGCAGCGCAGTGCATGGCCAGCGCAGCTCCACTGCGTGGCACCGAAACAAACCCCACCGCACCTGGATGGCAGACTGCACCTGGATGGCAGACCGCACCTGGATGGCAGACTGCACCTGGATGGCAGACCGCACCTAAATGGCAGACTGCACCTGGATGGCAGTCCGCACCTGGATGGCAGACCGCACCTGGATGGCAGACTGCACCTGGATGGCAGACCGCACCTGGATGGCAGACTGCACCTGGATGGCAGACCGCACCTAAATGGCAGACTGCACCTGGATGGCAGTCCGCACCTGGATGGCAGACCGCACCTGGATGGCAGACTGCACCTGGATGGCAGACCGCACCTGGATGGCAGACTGCACCTGGATGGCAGTCCGCACCTGGATGGCAGACCGCACCTGGATGGCAGACTGCACCTGGATGGCAGACCGCACCTGGATGGCAGACTGCACCTGGATGGCAGTCCGCACCTGGATGGCAGACCGCACCTGGATGGCAGACTGCACCTGGATGGCAGACCGCACCTGGATGGCAGACTGCACCTGGATGGCAGTCCGCACCTGGATGGCGGAGTAGCCCAGGGAGAACCAGGCGGAGCCATGCAGAGGGCTGATCGCCAGAGCCGCCTCCCAGTGAGTGATGGCTGACTGGAAATCCTTGTTGTTCATCGCCATGCGCGCTAGCGATCGCTGTGACAGGGGGAGAGAGGAAGGAGAGAAAACAAAGGGAAAACAGGAGGGGAAGAAGGGGAGAACAACAGAGAGTAGCCTCCCCTCCCAGTGAGTCGTTGCAGAGCACAACTCTTGCCGTTCATTGCTGTGCGCTAACGATCGCTGCATGGAGGGGTTTTGGGACGATGGGTAGGGGGTGGCTGAGTGCATCAGAATGGGTAAGACGAGAGAAAGGGAGATCCTTATTAGTGTGTCATTCCAGTACTCTTAACCTCTGCACCACACCTCACCCAACCCAATGCATATCTGTGTATACAATACTCCCATCCCGGCTCATAGCATTCTGTTCCCTCTGACTGTCAGATCCCCCAGGCAGAATTAGAGTAACTCGAGGCACTGCACCCTGAACCGCCCTGAACCGCACGGAACCACACTGAACTGCACCTACCTGGGCGCATGCGTATCTGTGCCGGGAGTACCCCCACGCCTTGTAGCATTCCCTCTCCTCAGTCAGATCCCCCAAGCAGCACCAGAGTACAAAGTATGCACTGCATCGCACTGCACCACACAGAACCGCACTGAACCACACCGCACTCCTGGGCATGTGCGTATCTGTTCCTGGAGTACTCCCACGCCTTCACATAGCATTCCCTCATGTTGTAGGTTATTTTTTATAACTCCAAAAAATCACCGCTTTTGAGTCACCCATAGCATTCATCCCCTCTCCCCCCTCAGACCCCCCAAGCCACCTTACCATTACGGCATGCACTACATGACAAGGCACCGCACACAACCACACCATAATGTGTAACCCCGCATTCAAACGCGTACCTGGGCGCGTGCATATCGGTGCCGGGAGTATTCCCACGCCTTCTCATAGCACTCCCTCTCCTCAGTCAGATCCCCCAAGCAGCACCAGAGGCGCGGGTCCTCCTGCTGCTCCTTGAGCCTCTGAGTTACAAGCGCTGTTGCTGCTGCTCGCTTGCCCAGGAGACTGGGATGGGGGAGAGACACGAGGGCCGAGGGGTGGGGCCGAGGGGAGAGAGGTGAGGAGGAAGTGAGTGAGGTCCAGATGGGTACATTAGGACCCGAGCAGCACCCGAGCCGCGGGTGCTCCTGCTTCTGTTTGAGTCCCTGGGTCAGCGCCCCTGGGTCTCTGCTCCAGCGTCGCTGTTTGTTTTTAGGTGCCTCAAAAGTGAGGAGTCTATTTTTGAGGCGCCTCAAAAGCGAGGAGTCTATTTTTAAGGCGCCTCAATAATAGACTCCTGCCACTTGAGTCCCTGGGTCAGCGTCCCTGGGTCTCTGTTCCAGCGTCGCTGCTGCTCGCTTGCCAAGGAGAGACTCAAGTGGGGGGGCCACATTTGAGGCGCCTCCGAAGTAGTCCTCCTGCTGCTGCTTGAGCCCCTGGGTCACGAGTGCCGTCGCTGCTGCTCGCTTGCCAAGGAGAGACTCAAGTGGGGGGGCCACATTTGAGGCGCCTCCGAAGTAGTCCTCCTGCTGCTGCTTGAGCCCCTGGGTCACGAGTGCCGTCGCTGCTGCTCGCTTGCCAAGGAGAGACTCAAGTGGGGGGGCCACATTTGAGGCGCCTCCGAAGTAGTCCTCCTGCTGCTGCTTGAGCCCCTGGGTCACGAGTGCCGTCGCTGCTGCTCGCTTGCCAAGGAGAGACTCAAGTGGGGGGGCCACATTTGAGGCGCCTCCGAAGTAGTCATCCTGCTGCTGCTTGAGCCCCTGGGTCACGAGTGCCGTCGCTGCTGCTCGCTTGCCAAGGAGAGACTCAAGTGGGGGGGCCACATTTGAGGCGCCTCCGAAGTAGTCCTCCTGCTGCTGCTTGAGCCCCTGGGTCACGAGTGCCGTCGCTGCTGCTCGCTTGCCAAGGAGAGACTCAAGTGGGGGGGCCACATTTGAGGCGCCTCCGAAGTAGTCCTCCTGCTGCTGCTTGAGCCCCTGGGTCACGAGTGCCGTCGCTGCTGCTCGCTTGCCAAGGAGAGACTCAAGTGGGGGGGCCACATTTGAGGCGCCTCCGAAGTAGTCCTCCTGCTGCTGCTTGAGCCCCTGGGTCACGAGTGCCGTCGCTGCTGCTCGCTTGCCAAGGAGAGACTCAAGTGGGGGGGCCACATTTGAGGCGCCTCCGAAGTAGTCCTCCTGCTGCTGCTTGAGCCCCTGGGTCACGAGTGCCGTCGCTGCTGCTCGCTTGCCAAGGAGAGACTCAAGTGGGGGGGCCACATTTGAGGCGCCTCCGAAGTAGTCCTCCTGCTGCTGCTTGAGCCCCTGGGTCACGAGTGCCGTCGCTGCTGCTCGCTTGCCAAGGAGAGACTCAAGTGGGGGGGCCACATTTGAGGCGCCTCCGAAGTAGTCCTCCTGCTGCTGCTTGAGCCCCTGGGTCACGAGTGCCGTCGCTGCTGCTCGCTTGCCAAGGAGAGACTCAAGTGGGGGGGAGAGGGCTAGACAGACAGGAAGGGGTGCGAAGGAGTGGGAAGGAGTGGGAAGGGGTGGGAAGAGAGGCTTTTGAGTCGACTCAAAAGTGTACTCACCTGCCAAGCATGCTCCTAACCTATGGCGTACCTATAGCAGTCTACAAGTTGACTTTTGAGTCGACTCAAAAGTCACCTGGCCACGTGTACTCACCTGCCAAGCATGCTCCTAACCTATGGCGTGCCTGTAGCAGTCTACAAGATGACATGGCACCACCACAGCTCGTTATTCTCACACAACCACCCACATGGCCTCGTGTGCTACCAGGCACCTCAACTCAAGCAGCCTGTTGCACGTCGGTCAACTGAGCTCACCCGCCAAGCCCGCTCTTATAGCATACCTGTAGCAGTCGATGAGGTGGTCCCACAGATCGTTGCTCTCGAACACCCGCATGGCATCTCCCACACACCCATTCGCCACTAGCAGTTCGCCATACTCCCTGCAAAGGGGGGGAGGAGGGAGGATTTTTGAAGACACAGGATTATGGGAGCGATCGCTGCAAGAGAATCGGTAAATGACGAGAAAAATGTTGAAAGGAGACGGGCCGTGATATGGAGCTTCAGGAATCAACACAGCTTGCATTGCCGTGTTAGATAAAGCAAAGGACGACTGGCGAATAGCTCACTTGAAGAGAGCGAGTGGTGGGGAACCAGACGTGCGAAGCAGTATCTCATCCTCTCTGCTGCTTCCCTCACTCCCTCCCACATCCTCTGTGTTGTGCTCCATAGTTGGCCTATAGTCCACTTACTTGAAGAGGGCAGGAGTGGTGGGGAACCAGACTGCGAAGCAGGATCGCATCCTCTCAGCTGCTTCCCTCGCCTCCTCCCACTCCTTACGCGTTGTGCTGCTTGCAGCTCCTCCTGCTGTTCCCGAAGCTGCTTTTGGAGAGGATGACTGCAACTGCTGCTGCTGCTGCTGCTGCTGCTGCTGCTGGCACCAGATTCGCTTTTCCTGATGCGAGATTGAATGGATCTGAAATGGAATCGGGAAGAAGAGAGCAGGAGACAAGCGCAGCAAGGCAGAAGCTAAATCAGGAAACGAAACCACAAGGACAAGTATACTAAAGAGTCACCAGACAGCTCTCGTAGGTGATTTGTGCGTGGACTCAAAAATATCCTCAGGAAACGAAACCACGGGGCCAAGTATACTCAGGATTCACCAGACAATGAAAAGAGTCGGGGCCCTGCGACTTGTTCTAAAGCCCCTGAAGAAACAGCTCATCGCCAGCAACCGCCCGCTGCCGCTCGCGTGTGCTCTGTGTGCGTGTGCAAGTACCCGAGGTGCCTTAAAGTCTGATCTAAGGTCATTCCGAGGAGGAGAACTCACCAGGCGCTCCATCATGGCAACCGTTCTCTGCCGTGTGTGCTCTACTTGTCTGCTCCTGTGCAAGCACCAGCCAATAGCACGTCTGTCGCCCCCTCATTCCAACTCACCAGCCTCTCCATCATGGCAACCGCTCTCTGCCGCGTGTGCGATCTCTTCCGCTCCCACCGGATCCTCAACAGCTCACAGCCCGCCTTAACCTGCAAGGAGGCATGGCATGGGGGGCATGTCATCGCATGGGGTTAAGGCATGGGGGCATGGCATGGGGGCATGGCATGGGGGCATGGCATGGGGGCATGGCATGGGGGCATGGCATGGGGGCATGGCATGGGGGCATGGCATGGGGGCATGGCATGGGGGCATGGCATGGGGGGCATGGCATGGGGCATGGCATGGGGGCAGAGCGTGAGAGGCTTGCTGCAGGCTGCAGGTATCATGGGAGGCATAGCATACCATGGGCGGAATGTGCTGCTGGAGAGTGATTGCCTCGATATAAGGCGCTGCCTCCCACCCTGTAACACAGTCACACAACATCGAGAAATGGTCAGCACTGCGGCCTGCTACCTCTGCTGCAAGCACTCATGCCACCACCCTCAATCAACCCTCTCATCTCCCTCACTCACCCCTCATCTCGTCAGCTGCATTGCTCTTCACCGTGTCAACAGCCATGGCCAGCACTGCCGCCTGCTCCACGCCCCTCAGCACACCCCCAGCGCTGCCGCCCTCACCACCGCGCCTATCAGCCCCGGCTCCAGTTGCTGCTGTGCTGTGCTTCTCTGCCCCGCCGCTCCCCTCCACCAGGCGCGGCGCCAGCAGCACGTCACTCTCGGGCTCAAGCAAGCACTCCAACTCCTCCATACTCTCGCCCTCCTCCTCCTCACCCTCTCCCTCGCCCTCCCCCTCTCCCTCCCCTCCAGCTTTTCCCTTCTCCCATTCCTCCATCCGATCCTCTGCCATGCCTGCAGCTAGTGCTTCCCCCCTCCTTACCTGCAGCACCAGCTGGGCCTTGGGATCAACCTGTGGGTTTGGCACGGGATGAATAGGGTTGCTGCCGGTTAAGAGTGGTGGGATAGTGGTCACAAGGCGCTTCTCAAGGCTGACATGCATGCACATGTCAATCCACAAATTCTCACTCCAAAAACCTCGTCACTCCGCCCGTTACTCAGTTGATGAACAGTGCGGTACCCCATAGCAGCGCCAGTCACACCAAGCGACACCCCACTCTGTCTCATGGCTCACATCCATGTCATACTCACACTTCCTCGCCTCGCCTCCAAGCCCCCCCTGACCCTCCCCCCCCCCTCCCCCCCCTTACTCACTTGATGAACCGTGCGGTACCCCATAGCTCCAGTCACACTCAGTGCCACCCCGCACTCTTCTAAAGACCTCTCGAAGCACTTCCTGTGCGCGCAAATTGCAGGGAACACGTGGAGGCAGGGGCGGGGCGGAGGCGTGAGCGGGGGCGGGGGCGGGGGTGGGGGCGGGGCGTGGGCGGGGGCGTGGGGGGGGGGGGTCTGAGCAGGGAGGGGGAAGGGGTGAGGCAGGGTGGGGTGGGGTGGGGTTTGGAGCGAGTGGAGAGAAAACAAGGGAGAATCCACACCTCAAGTTGAGAGCCACACCTCTGGTGAGAGCAACTTGAGATGAGTGCATTGAAGGGCCACGCATGGGTGGGTGGGTGAGTGCACAAGGAGGGGATAGATATGGAGAGATGGGCAATCGTGAGGAGTAGCACCCATGATACAAAGGGAGGGGCACACTTGGCATTGGCAATGGCGCTTCGCATCCATATGTAACGGCCACACCTGGCAGGCAGCGTCCATTTGTAACGGACACACTTGGCAACCCGTGCAAGTGACACATCTGGCAGCGTCCACGTGGGAGGGACACACCTGGCAGTGTCCACGTGTGCATAGGCCATCTCCATCATCCCAACCTCCAAATGCACCATCGCTGCCACCCGCACACACACCTCCCCCTCCGCTCTCTCCTCATTCCTCTCCCACTCCTCCTCCCCTCTCCTTCCTCCCTCCTCCTCATCCCTTCCCGCGAAAAGCGCTTTTCTCACTTCCTCTTTCCCCCCCAGAGTCGTCCCCAGGTGAACAGTGCATGGCAGCAGCAGGGCGCGGAGGGAGGGGGACCGCTCCTGTAGCACCCTCTGGTGAATCACGACAAGCCTCGCCGCCCACCAGGGCCAGGAGGGCGGCAGAAGGGCGGGGGAGAAGGCGTCAGAAGGTTTAACAGAGGAGGAGGGGGAGGGGGAAGAGGAGGAAGGGGAGGGGAAGAGGAGTGGGAAGAGAGGGGGGAGGAGAAGGGACCTGGCGAGGAGGAGGTACTGGGGGAGGTGGCATCTGCCAGTGACGTCAGCACCATCTGTCATCAGCTCCACCTGGCACCACTTGCACACCGCCACGCGTGCCGCCTCGCTGGCGAGGAACAAGGGGTCAGCTGTGCTTGCTGTCGTGGCACCTGCTGCTGGTCCTTGACCAAATGGGAGGGTTGGAACGGCAGACGGCTCGGGGCTGTTGGCAGGAAAACGAGGACAGGGAAACGGAGGGGAGAGGGAAGAGAGAGAAGAGAGAGAAGAGAGAGAAGAATAACAATGCAAATGATGAGGCAATATGAAAGGAAAAGCAGGATCTGAAAAGCAGCAGCGGGGAGGAACAAGACAGGGATGGGAAAGGGAATGTAGGCAACATAGAGAGCAGTACTGTCCAGTTCCAAAAATAACCGGCAAATTCATGATAGGGTTAACATGAAAACCCCAGCAGAGTAAAACCCTGGAACCCTGATGCACTAAAACCCTGAAACACAAAAACTTCGAGAATGAAGAGCGCTTGCTCAAAAGCGCGTATAGCAATGAATCTGCATTCCTCCCAACACCTTTTCCAAACTGTCTTCGACAGAAGGGTTCAAGGTTTAAGGGTCATGGCTAAACATCGGAACACATGGCTCGAGAAAGAATCAGTTTACCGAGTGCAGGTGGGGGATTGAAGCAGGAATTGTTCAGGCTCATGCTGAACCCAAAAACCCTTGAATTCGCATCCCGTAGTTCCCTCTCACTTGCCCCTACGCTCCTGAGAAAATCTAGTCCCTCGCGCACCCCTCAATGTCCCTCGCGCACCCCTCAATGTCCCTCGCGCACCCCTCAATGTCCCTCACGCCCACCCCTCGCTATAGGAACATCGCACCCACCCGCTCACGTTTGCCTGCACGAAGAGGCACAGGCTAGCCGCCCCCATCAGCAACACCGCCAGCGCCCTCTCGCCCCCGCTCCACTCGAGGAGTGCCCCATCCCCCTTGCACGATTCCTGTGCCGTTTGACTCCATTCGACATGCATTTGAGTTGATTCGGCATGTGGTTGGGCCGCATCCCCTGCCCCCTCACCCCCCTCCGCTTTTGCGCTTTCTGAGGGATTTTCCCCCCCCAGATCCGCCAGCACTGCGCCGATTCTCCCCCGCACTGCACGGAAAAAGGCTTCCGCCGCCGCTGCGCCTGTGGCTGCTTCCCCCTGCTGGCTCTGCGCGCCTGCCGCCACCGCTTCCGCCAGCTGATCCGCGGAGGGGAAGACCGCGAGCGCGAAGGATGCGCGCTGCAGCGCTGCGACATACCTTCCCGCCCTGATCAGCGCAAGCACGGAGGTCAGCACGGCCAACGGCGGTGCACGCGACGGTGCTTCGCGTGATAATAAGGACCCGTCTTCTGCGCCGCGGTGCAGCGGGAACGAGGGAGGCGCTCCGAACGAGACGAGCAGAAGCTCGGCTTCGAGGGACCGCGCGTCGATCGCGCCATAGCTAGCAGCGAGTGCCATGGCGACTACTGCAGTTTCGTTTTCTGCCTGGTTGGATTTGGCTCCTTCAGTGGGAAAGCAAATCAGCTCAAGGTTCGCCTGGACGAGCAGAGTTTCCAGACACGGAGCAGCGTTTACATTTGCAAGATCCGCTTTCGGGTCAGAAACAGTTCGCTCCAATTTCGTTCACGAAGTTCGTGTCGGAAAGTCTGCTGCGCTCCACAAGAACAACCCCCTTTTGGAGGGGATCGCTCCGCTGCTGGACGAAGATCGCGCAAAAATGATCTGGACCCTCCAACGAACCCCTGTGATATTTTGAGACCGTATCGTATTTGCGAACCGAATGATCGAACTTGATGCGAAATCACATCCTTCGTTGAATCAGGGTTACAATAGAGTTACAACCCTCCAGCATGCCGCCTTCAGGAATCAGGATTCAGGAACCCTACCTCTCTTCTTCCATTCTTTTCTTTCTAGGCTGGAGCTCTCGTTCCTAGGGGTGGATTCTAGCGTCGTGTCATCCCGTGGATGACACCCGATTTTGCCCGTAAGCCTGGTTCGGCCGAACCTAGCTGAGGGGCAAAATCGGGTGTCATCCGCGGAATGACACGACGCAAGAATCCGCCCTAATTCCCTCCAGCGTTCGATGTCATTCGTTTCCCGACCGAGCACATTCTATGTCACAGTCATCTTGTATGCGCTTTTTTTTGCTCGAGCAGGCTTGTACATAAGTTTCCGTTTCCGACGTTTCACTGAAAACTTCCGTCGGTCTTTAACGCGGCCACGATGGATATGGAATACCTTGACGATGATGACGTCATGTCGGACTACGATGACGACGATAACGATCAGCTGGCGGATTCCGACGAGGACGAGCTAGACAAAGACGAGGAACGAATTCAGAATCCGTCAACAATTCGCAACCCGGACGGAACTTACCGCTGCCCGTTCTGCCCCGGGCAGAAGAAACAAGATTATAGATTCAACGAAGTCACGAAGCATGCAGAGGATCAGGCGAAGGGGTCGTCGAGGAAAGGACCCAAGGAGCGCAGGAGGCACCAGATGCTGCTGCAGCGGCTGATGCGGGAGGATCTGCAGCCTGACAAGCCCGTCCGCGTTATAAAAGTTGAACCTCGCGAAACACCAAAGATTGTGGAGGTAAGAGATGACCTTGAAGAATAGAGGGGCCCAAGGAATGGAGACAGCGTTTGGAGCTGAAGCAGCAGAAGCAGCGGCTCATGCGGGAAGATCTGCACCCTGATGAACCTGTCCGTGCGGTAATACGAGGCGCTTTTATGGTTACAGGCTTACAGCACGGACAGGCTTCTCAGGCTGCAGATCTTCTTGCAGAAGCCCATGCCTCTCAAAGCGTCTGAAAGGATTGGGATATCAGACGTGCCGTTTTTTTCTTCTACTACTTCTTTCTTTCTTTCCCTCTTTTCGTAGTAACTTACACGCTGAAACATGTCTTCATCGGTGTATTTTGCAGATACCTATCTAACATGTCCTCTCTCCCCCCTGCTTTCCCTTCTTTTTGCAAAATTTCCAGGACCGGATTTTGTGGCCGGCTGTGGCGATTGTGAAGAAACTGCAGACGGGTCTCATGTACGACACGAACCAGAAGAAAGAGATCCTGGGTGGCGTGACTCGCGCGCATGTGGACCGAAGCACGCTCAAGAGCTACCTGCCTCATCGTGAATCATGACACGCTATGCTATTGTTTCGTGCCCTTCTGGTTTGCAGGACCGCATCCTCTGGCCGCCTGTGGCCATAGTGAAGAACCTGCAGACGGGTCTCACATATGATGCGAACCAGAAGAAAGAGATTCTGGGCGGCGTCACTCGCGAGCAGATTGAGAGCACGTTCAAGAGCTATGGGCCCCGAAAAGTGGAGGTGCTTTATAGTAAGTGGAGAGGTAGGGGGGGAATAGGGAGGGCGAGCGAATTATAGATGGAGGGAATTGGGGGGAGAGTTTCGAGTCTGTGTCAGAGATTGAACGCGTGCTCACGAGCTAGGGCCTCGGGGAGTGGAGTGGTGGAGGTGTTGTATATTGTAGGTGGAGGGAGAGGGAGTGTGCGGTTGAATGGGAAGATGAGAAGGGATCTTCAGGGGGGGGGTGGGTATGCATGTGGATCACATCACAGTCGCATGCTTACCACCCTGTTCCTCCCCACTCTTTGTTGCCGGGTATCTTGATCCTCTTCCCCCCCCCCCCCCCCAGACTACAAGGGCCACACGGGGACGGCGCTGATTCACTTTGAAGAGAACGCCAAGGGCTGGGAGGCGGCTTCGAAGCTGGACAAGACCTATGCGCAGAGCGAGTTGGGGCGAGAGGGGTATCTGAAGGGGAGGGGACGGGAGAAGGACGAGTGGTTCGCATGGGCGGCCAGAGAGAGGGACCTGGAGGCGGAGGGCAAAAAGGGGCCCATTGGGAGTGCGCTGCACAGGAAACACAAGGGAACGAAGAGCCTGGCGGAGGTGAGAGAGAGGTTGCTGAAGATGGGTGCTAGTCAGGGATACTAGACGTGGAGTTGGAGAGACAGAAGGGGCAAATGGGGAGTAGACATGGGCACAAGCCGGCTCATGCCCATGTCTAATGGGGAGTGTGTGCAGAAGGAGCACCGCTGGGCGACGATGAGCCCGAGCGAGGTGAGGGGTTGCTCAAGACTTGGGCTACTAGACCTGGACTTGGAGAGACAGACATATGGGGAGTAGACTTGAGCATTTTACCCGGTCGGGTCGCGGGTACCCGACCTGACCCGACATTTTGGCTGGGTCGGGTAATAGGATTTTGACAAATTACCCAGCCGGGTCAGGTCGGGTACTCGGGCTGGGTAATGCATACCCGTTACCCGAGAATTACCCGAAATGTCGGGTAATTTATTACCCGTCAGGTCGTGGGTACCCGACCCGACTTCGGGTTTGTTACTCCGGGTTTGCTGAATTTTACAGCCACCTAGGGGTACCCGGGTAATACTACCCGACTTCAATTAACCCGACCCGCCAGATGGGTACCCAAGTACCCGGTATTAAAATGCCGGGTCGGGTAACAGACCTCCAAACACTACCCGGAAATTACCCGACCCGACCCGACCCGGACCCGATCGCGGGTAGGGCAAAACCGGGTCGGGTCGGGTAATTACCCGGTTTTGCTCATGTCTAATGGGGAGTGATGGGCTGATGGGGGGTGATGGGCTGATGGGGGGTGATGGGCTGATGGGGGGGTGTGTGCACAAGAAGCACCCCCGGGCGACGAAGAGCCTGAGCTGAGCGAGGTGAGGTGAGGGGTTGCTGAAGATGCGTGCTGATCAGGGGAGGGAGAGTGGTTTGCTTGGGCTGCTTTGGAGAGAGGCCTGGAGGCGGAGGGCAAAAAGGGGCCCATTGGGTTGGGAGTGCGCTGCACAGGAAGCACAAGGGAGCGAAGAGCCTGGCGGAGGTGAGGGGTTGCTGCAGGTTTGTGCTGGACAGGAAAGTTCAAGTTGTGATGCGGGGGAGAGACCTGGTCAGAGACCTGTTTTTGGAGAGAGATTTTCTAGTTGACTCAAAAATCACCTACGGAAAGGTCAAGTTGTGATGCGGGCAGCGGGTCAGAGACCTGTTTTTGGGGAGTAAGAAGGGGCCGATCAGGAGTATGCATGTTGCACACGAAGCATAAGGGAGCGAAGAGCTTGAGTGAGGTGAGGGAGTGCTGTGCGCCAGTCAGGACAGCCTCAAGTTGGGATGTGAGTCTGAATGTAGGGCCCCTCTGTTCTCTGTTTTTTGTTGGCTTGCTGCAGGTGTTGGAGCAGCAAGTCACTGTGAAGCAACAGCAGGACAAGACTTATGTAGGGCCCTTCTGTTCTCTGTTGTCTGTTCGAGTACTGCAGGTGTTGGAGCAGCAAGTCGCTGTGAAGCAACAGCAGGACAAGACTTGTGAGTCCGAATGTAGGGCCCCTCTTTCTCTGCTGTCCGTTTGCGCACTGCAGGTGTTGGAGCAGCAAGACGCAGTGAAACGGCAGCAGGAGCGGGAGGAGAAGCGCGTGCAGGAGCGGGCTTTCATGCGCCTCTCTGAAAAGCTGCAACGCACGGAGGACAAGCTTAAAGAGATGGAGAATTCGGCCATGGCCTTAAGGAGGAAACACGAGGAAGGTGCGTGGAAGGTCCTGCTGTTGTTGCTTAGAATTCTCAACACAATTAGCTGCACTCCCACCAAGAGGGAGGAGAAGCGCGTGCAGGAGCGGAGCCGGCATTCATGCGCCTATCGGAGTGGCTGCAACGCACAGAGGGCAAGCTTAAAGAGATGGAGAATTCGGCCATGGCTTTAAGGAGGAAGCACGAGGAAGGTGTGTGGGAAGGGAAGCGCTGCTGTTGTTCCCTCGGATTTTCAACAGTTAAATAAGGGCGCAGGAGCGAGCGTTACTGCGGCTGTCAGAGCGGCTGCAGCGCACCAAGGGGCGGCTCAAGCTTGATGGAGGACTTGGCCATGGCTTTGAGGAGGAAGCACTAGGAAGGTGCGTGGAAGGTCCTGCTGTTGTTGCTTAGAATTGTCAACACAATCAGCTGCACTCACACCAAGAGGGAGGAGAGGCTGGTGCAAAAGCTTGCATCCATGCGGCTGTCGGAGCGGCTGCAGCGCACGGAGGGGAGGCTCAAGGAGATGGAAGATTCGGCCGTGACCCTGAGGAGGAAGCACGAGGAAGGAAGGTGCGTGGAAAGCGCTGCGGAGGGAGTTTCTCTGAGGTTGATGAGATTCTTGTTTCTAGTGATCCTTGTTTTGGTGCTCTCTCTTTTTGAGGCGCCTCAAAAATAGACTCCTCTTGTTTCTAGTGATCCCTTGTTTTGTTGCTCTCTCTCCTGCGGAGTGAGCGGAGTGGAGGCACATGAGCACACACACCTGATCTGGGAGACGACGGAGAGGCGATTCCTACAATTGGTCTCTCTTGATGCTCCCTTGTCGTGCTCACTGCTACACAGCTAGCCGACGCACACGAGTGCACACAGGAGAGAATGGAGAGGCAGACTACTCTTCCTAACCACCAATATTTTCCGTACGAACCTCTGTTGTTGCATGCCGTCTCCACTCCATCCGCTGCTTCCACCAGCCAGCCCTCAGTTTGTTGCAGTCGTCCTTTATCTCACCACTGCTGCAGAGGTGGCCGAGGCACACGAGCGCGCGCACACACACATGATGGATGAGGCGGACTACTCCTTCCAACCAGCCAGCGCTCATTTTATCACACCCCCTTGTCCCACGCCTTGCCTCACCACTGCTGCAGAGGTGGCCGAGGCACACGAGCGCAAGAAGGAAATGATGGATAGACGCAGCACATGCGAGCTCGCATGCGGGATGTGGAGCGCACGGAGAGGGAGATGGAGGGGCTGCAGCGGCAGCCAGTCTCTTGATGCCCCCTTGTCTCACGCCCTGTCCTACGCCTTGTCCCACGCCTCGTCTCAGCACTCCTGCAGAGTTAGCTGAGGCACACGGGCGCACTCGGAAGATGATGGAGCGGCGCAAGCGGGGTCGCTTGCGGGGTCGCTTGCGGGATGTGGCGCACATGTGGAGAGAAATGGAGGGGCTGCAGCGACAGCTCGCCCCTTAATGCTCCCCTGTTCCACGCCTTGTCTTGATGCCTCCTTCCCATGTCCCACCCACACCTTGCCTCACCACTGCTCCAGAGTTTATTTTTGAGGCGCCTCAAAAATAGACTTTCCACGCCTTGTCTTGATGCCCCCTTCCCATGTCCCACTGACACCTTGCCTCACCACTGCTGCAGAGTTAGCGGAGGCACACGAGCGCACTCGAGCGATGATGGAGAGGAGGATGAGGAATCGAATGAGGGAGGTGGAGCGAATGGAGAGGGAAATGGAGGCGCTGCAGCGCCAGCTGGTGGCGAGGAGCGCTAACGAGCAGGAGGTGAGGGGAGAGGAGAGTAGGGGGGTGAGAAAAGGAGGTAAGGGGAGAAGGGGAGGCGTTGAGAGGAGAGGAGAGGAGAGGAGGTGAGAGGAAGTGTGGGCGGTGAGAGGAGCATGAGATGCAGATGCTGAAGGAACTAGCTTGGAAGAGAAAAGATTGAATTGAGTAGGGAGCCAAGAGGCTCTTTTTGTACAAAACAAGGAGCAAAGAAGAGTTGGAAGGGAAGCTCTCCTATTGGCCATAAAGTGGACCAATGGGGGAGGTTGCTTGTAGGGCAAGCAACCACAAAAGTGTGGTGCTCTCCTATTGGTCACAATGTGGACCAATGAGAGAGATTGCTTGGAAGGCAAGCAACCACAAAGTGTGGTGCTTGGTGATTGGTTGGTTCCTAGGACCAAAGACCATTTGGTTGGAATAGTGCCAACCAAATGTCTAGGACCAAATCCAATCTTGACCAACCCAAATGTGGGGTTGGTCAACCCAACCAACAACCCCCCAATAATTATAATGACTACACCTCCTAATCTAGGCATGCATGTTGTATAGATATATATTTTACAACAGATGCATCATCATGATTAAGACTAGAGGGCTTGAATCAGGAGGCGGACGAGGGAACGGGGGGAGCGAGGCCAAGAAGGCGAAGGAGGGATGAGTGGGCGGCGTGGGGGAGGGCTTTGGTGAAGATGTCGGCAAGATTGGCAGCAGAGTCAATCTTGCCCAGCTGGAGGTGGCCACCCTGCACAAGCTCGCGAATGAAGTAGTGGCGAAGCTCAATGTGCTTGGAGCGCCCGTGGAACACAGCATCCTTCGTGAGGTGGATGGTGCTGGCGTTGTCGCACCAGATGGTGGGACAGCGCTGAGGGGCACCAAGCTCCTCAAGAAGGAAGGAGAGCCAGCGGGCCTCCTGCGCAGCCATGGTAGCGGCATACAGCTCTGCTTCGCACGAGGAGAGGGCAATGGAGGAGGAGCGGGTGGAGCGCCAGCTGATGAGGCCGCTGCCAAGAGAGAAGCCATAGCCCTGAGAGGAGCGGCGGTCAGGCCTAGAGTCAGCCCAGGAGGAATCAGAGTAGCCAGTGAGGAGGGGAGGGGAGGGGCCGCCAAGGGTAAGGACGTAGTCCTTGGTCCCCCGAAGGTAGCGGAGGACACGCTTGGCCGCTTGCCAGTGGGCGGCATCATGCTTGCCTGTACCAACGAAGCGGGCCAAAACGCTGATGGGGTATGCTAGGTCAGGGCGGGTGGAGACCATGGCATACATGAGAGAGCCGATGAGCTCAGCGTAGGGGTGGGAGGAGGAGGAGGGGGAGGTGAGGGGAGTGAGATGGTGCCCAACAGGAAGAGGGGTGACCTGAGGGGTGCCTCGAGCCATGTCGAACCGCTCCAGGACCTGCTGCAGGTAGTGGCCCTGGGAGAGGGAGATGGTGCGAGCAGCACGGTCGCGGGTAATCTCCATGCCGAGATAGTGCTGCAGCCCCCCTAGATCCTTACACTTGAGCCGGCTGCCAAGCTCACGCTTGACGCGCTCGAGCTCGGCGGAGTCGGCAGTGATGAGGATCATATCGTCGACATAGACGAGGATGTAGAAGGGGGAGGGGGAGGTGCGGAGGAAGAGGCTGGGGTCGGCACGGGAGGTGCTGAAGCCAAGCTCGGCGAGGGTGGCAGCAAGCTTGGCATGCCATTCCCTTGGTGCCTGCTTGAGCCCATAGACCGGCCGACGCAGCTGCCAGACAGAGTCGGAAGGAAATGAGCTCGCGCAAGACCCCCTGGAGGAAGGCGTTGGAGACGTCCATGGAGTGAATCTCCATGTTGAGGCGAGCAGCGAGGTCGAGGACTGCGCGAATGGTAGCGGGCTTGGCGGTGGGAGAGAAGGTGTCGAAGAAGTCGACAGCGTAGCGCTGGGTGAAGCCCTTGGCGACGTAGCGGGCCTTGTAGACCGGCGGCTCGCCAGGAAGCTGCTTCACCCGAAACACCCACTTCCCTTTGACCACGTTCGTGGTAGAGGGAGGGCGGGGCACATCCACAAAGGAGGAGTTGGCAATAAACGCCTCCAACTCCTTGAGGATGGCCGCGAGCCAGAGGTGAGCGTCAGGGCACGCCATGGCCTCCTCGTACGTGGCGGGGACGAAGATGATGGGGGCGGAGGAGAAGGCGAAGACTGGTGTGCCGCTGAGGTCAGGGGAGATGGGTAGGACGGCTGGATCATGCATGTGGAGGTTGAGGAACTCCTCATGGGAGTCCTCGAGGAGGGAGGAGTGGAAAATGAATGGGAGGACTGCTGCTGCTGCTGCTGCTGAGGATGCATCTGCTACTGCTGCTGCTGAGGCGGCTGCTACTGCTGCGTCTGCTGCCGCCGCTGCTGCTGCTGCGGGTGAAGGCGAGGAAGAAGTGACGGCTGCTGCTGCTGGTGCTGCTGCGGTGGGTGGAACTGCTGCTGCAGCTGTTGCTGCTGCTGTTGGGACTGCTGTACTGGAGCTCGACGGCAGGGTTGGGCTAGTGTTTTGTTGTAAGACTGTCTGAAAAAGGAGGTCCATGAGAGGGGAGAGAGGAGGCAAGGTAGAGGAAGAGAGGATAACAGGAGGCGGGGCACCTAGGACTGCGTCACGCGACCTGGTGTGGGGATACCGGGTGAGGATGGAGCGGGTGGGACGCAGGGGGGGAGGGGGTCGCGGGGGAGAGGGGGGAGGAGGGGAGGGGGGAGGATGGGAGGGAGCGGAGGGGGAGGAGTGGGACGGGGAGGCGGGGGGGAAAAAAGGGTCAGGGTCAAATATGTCACCAGAGGAGGGGGGAGCACTAGGGGCCGAGGCGGCGGGGAATGGAGGAGGCGGAGCGGGGGGGAGGATGGGAGGGGGAGGGAGAAGAGGGGGTGGGATAGTGTCGGACCAGTTGAGGGGCCTGGGAGAAGGGGCGAGAGGGTCAGTGGGGGGAGGAGTGGAATAGTAGGGTGTGGACTCATCAAAGACTACATCCCGACTGTGGAGGAAACGACCTGAGGGGGGGTGAAGGAAGAGGTGGTCCGGTGAGGAGGGATTATGACCAAGGAAGATGCAGGGGAGGGTACGGGAGGCGAGCTTTCCCATGGTGTGGGGGCGGTCCGCAGGGTGAATGAGGACATACGCCCTGGAGCCCCACACACGGAGGGAGGAGACGTCAGGCTTGGCCGACGTCCAGAGCTCGGTGGGAGTGGTGGAGGGAAGGATAGGGTGGGGGTACAGGTTAGTAAGGAGGGTGGCGTGAAGGAGGGCATAGCCCCATAGAGAAGGGGGGCAAGAGGCATGGACGAGGAGACACCGAGCAATCTTGGTGATCTCCCGAACACGGCTCTCGGCCACACCGTTCTGCTGGGGGGAGTGGGGGAGGGTGTGAGTCTGGCGAATGCCATGAAGCTCACAGTAGGAGGCTACCTGACGATTAAGGAATTCGCCACCGCCATCAGAGTGAAGGCGGCGCACAGGGCGGCCAAAGTGGGTGCTCGCCTGCTTGAGCCAGGCGATGATCGCAGTCGGAGCGTCACCCTTCGAGCGAAGAAGGGAGACGGAAGAATATCGGCTGTGATCATCGACCAGAACAAGCATGTAGCGATGACCCTGGCGGGAAGGGGAGGGGTTGGGGCCCCAGAGGTCCATGTGAACAAGATCAAGCGGCTGAGCAGCAGCGGAGGGGGAACTCCGATGCGGCAGCTGCTTGAGCTTGCTCTGGACACAGACGGAGCAGGGAGGGGCAAGGGAGGGAGGGAGGGGAGGGAGGGTGAGGGGAAGACCTCGAAGGAGACCTGAGGAGACGGTCGAGCGGAGGGTGGCAAAGTTGGGGTGACCAAGCCTGTGGTGGAGGAGGACGGTGGGATGGGAGAGGGATCGACAGGAGCAGGCTGGGTCAGGGGGGAGGGGGGGAATGGTTGGGTTAGAAGGAGGGAGAGGAGGGGGGGAGATGTGAGGTGGGAGGAGGGAGCGGGAGACTGCCTGGGCAGAGGGAAGACGAGGAACTCGAAGGGTATATAGGCGGGAGCGAGGACAAAAGGGAATACGGGAGAGGAGGCGACCTGTGGGATGGTATAGGAGGCAGTGATTAGCGCGACCTGGGAAGACGGTGGTGATACCGGCCTGCTGCAGGGATCGCTGGGAGAGGAGGTTAGTACGGAGGGAGGGGATGTGTAAACCAGTGACGGTACCTGAGGGGAAGAGGGGACAGGGGAGGGTAGAGGTGTGGCGACAGGGAATAGAGAAGCTGGAATCGGCACCAAGGAGGGAGGTGGGGGCTGGGAGAGGGTGAAGGGTACCAGCATCACGAAGGACGGACTCGGTGGCTCCACTGTCAAGGACAAAGTCCAGCGTGGTGGAGGGGGGAGGATGTGGGGGAGGAGGTGGGACGGAGTACTGAATCACATTCTCATTAATAGCAGCCGAATACATGGAAGGGGCGGGGGTTCCAGCCTGACTAACCATGCCAACAAAACCAGAGGAGGGGAAGGGAGTCACACTGCCTGTGGCTGAGGGCGCGGGAGACGCGCCCGAGAGGTGAGCTGCGGAAGCGGCGGTGCCGGCGGTCCAAGCGGGGTAGGGCTGCTGGGGGGGAGCCATAGGAGGAGGTGCAAGGGGGAGCTGCGACTGGAGGTCAAGCTGTTGCTGGAGCTGGTGGAGCTGCTGCTGCAACTGGGAGAAGAGGTGATGCTGCCCCTGCTGCTGCTGCTGCTGGAACTGCTGCTGCTGCTGCTGAAACGGCTGCGGCAGGATCTGCTGCGGTGTCTGCTGCTGCTGCTGTTGCTGAGAGATGGCCTGGTGGGCCAAGGGGGAGGAGACGGGCTGAAAAAGAGGGGAGGTACGAACCTCCTGAGGAGTGGGGCGAGGGGAGAGGGAGGACCAGCGGGGGGGGTGCCGGTGTTGCCGCGGGCAAACCACTCATCACTGAGCGCTTTGAAGCAAGAATCAGTGGCATGAGTGGTCTGGCCGCAGCGCTGACCCCGCGTGGGGCCATAGCGAGGGAGATACTGGCAAGGAGGAAAGGCGGCTGCTGCACCACGTCCTGCGCCATTGGTACCACGACCCGCGCCACCACCACGACCAGCGCCACGCCCTCCCCCACGCCCTCCCCTGGTGTTGCGCTGCTGAGCAACAGCGGCAGTGGAGGAGGAATGGCGCAGGAGGTCGGCCTCGGTGGTGATAATCCACTGGGCGACTTCAGCCGGGGTGATGCGCTTGTCGATCAGCTGCATGTAGGCGATCTTATGGGTGTCGAAGGCAGAAGTCAAGCCTTCAAGGAGGTGGCAGCAGAGCACAGGGTCCGGGTACGGTACGCCAAGAGCCGCCAGGCGCCGAGCGAGGTCGAGGACGCGACGCGTGAAGGCAGCTGCGCCGGTGGTAGAGTCCATGGTGAGGCTCTGGAACTCCTTGATGAGGGAGTAGAGGGTGGCGACGTCCTGCCGATCATAGAGATCGGTGAGGAGCCGCCAGAGGTGGGAGGAGGAGGTGGGAGCAAGCTCGCGCTTGAGGGTGGGAGGAATGGTGGCGAGGAGGATGGTGAGCGCGCGCCGGTCAGCGACACGCCAGGCAGCGAGGTCGGTGATGTATGCGCGCTCGCGACTGACGTACTCCGCGAGCGCCGCCTGATACGTGTTGTAGGCGGCAGTGGCGGCGTCATGCTCGGCGCGGGAAGCCTCGAAGAGCAGCTGCTGGCGGACGTGGTCGGTGAGGCCGGCACGGTAGGTGCGGATGGCGGTCTCGGAGCTCTGAGGGTCGTTGACGTCAGGGGCGAAGGTTGGAGGATCGCCGGGGCTGACGAGAGGATCGCCAGGAGGAGGAGGTGCAGGGCCCGCGGGTGCATCCGGCTGGGCAGGCTGAAGACCGCGCTCCTCGAGATGGACAACGGCTTTCAGGTTGTAGCCGTTGACCGTCACCGAGGAGAGAAGCACCGTGACGGTTTGGGCATAGGAATGCCAATTGACCGCGGTGTTGTCGGGCAGCAGCTCAAGAGCGTCGACGGAGGTAAAGTCCACGGAGGAATCGGACGCCATTGAGGAGGAGGGGAAGGAAGGGGGGGGGGGGGGGGGAGGAGGAGGAAAAGGGAAAGGAGGAGGAAAAGGGAAAGGAGGAGGAAAAGGGAAAGGAGGAGGAAAAGAGAAAGGAGGAGGAAAAGGGAAAGGAGGAGGAAAAGGGAAAGGAGGAGGAAAAGGGAAAGGAGGAGGAAAAGAGAAAGGAGGAGGAAAAGGGAAAGGAGGAGGAGAAGGATAGGTGTGCGGAGCGCAGCTCTTAAGTCGCCGAAGGCGCGACGCGCTCCAAGGAGGATGCGGCGACCGGCTGCACGTCGAAACGGCGCGACGAACGGGAGCACGCGACGGCAGAATCGACGACGGGCGGGCGCACGCGGCGGAGAAATCGACCGACGACCGCGCGCGCGCGGCGGCAGAAAGGCGACGGGCGCGCTGAGAGGATTTGTCGACGGGCATCCACGGGAGCCGTGACGCACGGGCGCGCGGAGAGCGCGACGGACTGGTGTGCGCAAACGCGGAGGGCGCGCGACGGGAGGGCGCGACGGGAGGGCGCGACGACGGACCGCACGACGGAGGAGCGCACCAACGGGCGCAGTAGGAGGATGCGACGGCCGGAAGCGCGTCGTCAGGCGCAACGGGAGGCGCACGGCGGAAGGGAGAGCGGGCGCGGCAAAAAGGCGCGCGACGGGAGGAAAAGCGGGCGCGACGGAATAGCGCGGCGAGAAAGGGCGCACGGGGGGCGCAGGAAGTAGCCTAAGGAAGGGCTAGACTTCGAAGACGAGGAGGGACAGCATAGGGCCGTGCTAGTTAGGATCGAATCGAGGTGGCGTGAGCCATTGTGGCTCTAAATACCATGAAGGAACTAGCTTGGAAGAGAAAAGATTGAATTGAGTAGGGAGCCAAGAGGCTCTTTTTGTACAAAACAAGGAGCAAAGAAGAGTTGGAAGGGAAGCTCTCCTATTGGCCATAAAGTGGACCAATGGGGGAGGTTGCTTGTAGGGCAAGCAACCACAAAAGTGTGGTGCTCTCCTATTGGTCACAATGTGGACCAATGAGAGAGATTGCTTGGAAGGCAAGCAACCACAAAGTGTGGTGCTTGGTGATTGGTTGGTTCCTAGGACCAAAGACCATTTGGTTGGAATAGTGCCAACCAAATGTCTAGGACCAAATCCAATCTTGACCAACCCAAATGTGGGGTTGGTCAACCCAACCAACAACCCCCCAATAATTATAATGACTACACCTCCTAATCTAGGCATGCATGTTGTATAGATATATATTTTAGAACAGATGCATCATGTTATGTTGTGCACTACCTACCACGCGGAGATGTGGAGTTGCATGGAAGGAGATGAAGTTATAGGAAGGAGAGAAATTGAGACAAGGCGCGGGATAAGAGGAATTGAGAATGGGAGCTTCAATCAGTGGGCGTGCAAGCGCATGCGAGAGATGGTGTGATAGAGTGGCGAAATGCAGGGGCTGCAGAGGCAGCGGGAGGCAAGGAGCGCGAACGAGCAGGAGGTGAGGGGAGAGGAGAAAAGAGAATGTGGCTGGCAGGACGGAGAGGAAGGTGCGAGAGGAGTGGAGGAGGAGGTGAGAGAAGAGGAGAGGAGGGGAGAGGAGGAGGCGAGAGGAGAGGAGGAGGTGTCTCTTTTGCGATTTTTCCATTCGTCATTGTCACGTTGCGTCTGCCCGGTAGCTTGTTGCTACGTCTGTTATTCTCACATTCGCCATTGTCTCATTTGCGTTTGTCCTGCTTGTTGTCACACCCGTCTGATGGTAGATGAAGCAACGGCCGGAGGAGTTGACGAGGCAGCTTTGAGAGGCCTCAAAACACATTGTCCATCGTCCTTTTTCACATTGTCTGGTTTCCTGTGGTCCCCTTTCCCATTGCCGCTATTGTGGTCGTCCCATTGTGCCATTGTGCCATTCGCCATTGTCATGTCCGACCGATTGACGGCAGACGAAGCGGCGGCTGGACGAGTTGACAAGGCAGTTGAGCCAGCAGGAGCAGCAGGGGGAGCTGCAGCAGCAGCAGGCACAGAGGCGAGCGGTGAGTGCAACGTGGGGGAAAAAGGGGGGAGGGGGTGGGGGGGCTGGGATACCCTTTTGTTTGCTGTTGCGTGTTTGAAGGCAGCTAAGCCAGCAGGAGCAGCAGTTTGGTTGAGCTGCAGCAGCAGCAGATGCAGAGGTGGGCGGTGGGTGCCATGCCATGCCAACAACGACTTTTACTTGTCGCCCCATGATCATTTGTGTTCTGAGATGCAGCAGCTAGCTGGAGGGGTTGAGGTTGCTTGTTTCTCAATTCAAAAAGTCACCTCCCCCCCACCATCATGTTTCTTCTTCTTTCCCTCCCCGCCCGCCTGCCAGCATGAGATGGAGGAGTTGGAGGCGATATTCCAGTGCGTGCGGCTGAAAGTGGAGCCGAGGCACCACATAGAAGTAGAAATGGAGGAAGCCAAGGGCAAGCAGGGCGGCGAGGGGGGGGGCGAGGGGGGAGGCGAGGGGGGAGGCGAGGGGTCGAAGGAGGCGGAGGAGAAGCATAGAGGCGCACCTCAAACTGTCATGCTGCTTCATCCCCCCCCTCTCCTACCCCTTGCACCAGCGGGAAATGGAGGAGCTGGAGGCGAAATTCCAGCGGGTGCGGCTGACATTCGAAGAGAAGCACCGCATCGAAGTGGAGATGGAGGAGGCGAAGGGCAGGCAGGGCGGCGAGGGGGGAGGCGAGGCGTCGAAGGAGGCAGAGGAGAGGATGAGGCAGTTGGAGGAGGAGCTGGAGGGCGCGAAGGACATGCTGGATATGGAGCAAGAGCGGTTCTCCCGGCTGTCCGTGGATGCGAGGGTGCGCGATGACGATGTGTCGCACGCCAGGGCAACAGCCATGGAGGTGAGTACTATTGCTGCTGCCACTGCCATCTTACCTCTACGGTTTCGGTTGTCTGTGAAGGAAGTAGCTTAGAGGAGAAAGGATTGAATTGAGTAGGGAGCCAAGAGGCTCTTTTGTACAAAACAAGGAGCAAAGAAGAGTTGGAGGGGAAGCTCTCCTATTGGCCATAAAGTGGACCAATTGGAGAGGTTGCTTGTAGGGCAAGCAACCACAAAGTGTGGTGCTCTCCGATTGGCCACAATGTGGACCAATGGGAGAGGTTGCTTGGAAGGCAAGCAACCACAAAGTGTGGTGCTTGGTGATTGGTTGGTTCTTAGGACCAAGGACCATTTGGTTGGAATAGTGCCAACCAAATGTCTAAGACCAAATCCAATCTTGACCAACCCAAATGTGGAGTTGGTCAACCCAACCAACAACCCCCCAATAATTATAATGACTACACCTCCTAATCTAGGCATGCATGTTGTATAGATATATATTTTACAACAGTCCGTGGATGCGAGGGTGCGCGATGACGATGTGTCGCATGCTAGGACTGCAGCCATGGAGGTGGGTGCCTGTCTGGCCGGTGGGTTGGCTGGTGGGTTGGTTGGTGCCTGCTTGCTTGATTGGTGGGCTGCCTGGTGAGTGCTGCTGCTGCCGCTGCCGCTGCTGCTGCTGCTGCTGCTGCCACTGCCGCTGCTGCTGCTGCTGCTGCTGGTATGTTACATCTGGCGTTGCAGCTGTTTGTGGATGCGAGGGTGCGAGCTGGTGATGTAGTCCATGCGAGGACGACAGCCATGAAGGTCACTGCCTGGCTGCTGAGTGTTAACGATGCTGTGTAACATTTGGATGTAGAGTTCGAGTGCTAGCGATTCCTAGCCACGCTAGGAGGTGTTTAGGCTGTCTGTCGAAGCTATGTTGGAGGCTAGAAACGAAACCAAGAAGGTGAAAGCTTGTGATTTTCGAGCATTTGCTTGAGTGCCTTTCTAACATCCAGTGTGTCATCCTTTAGCAAACTAACATCCACTTTACAGACAGCTTGGATGGTGGCACATGTTTCACATCCATCACTATAGCTCTATCTCATAATGATTCTTGCAGCAAGCGCCCATCACTGATGCTCCACCTCATCTATTTCACAACGATTGTTGCAGCATGCGCCCTTTCTTATTTGCGTACTGTTCTAGCGGTTGACCGTTCCTCTCACCTTCCTGCCATTTCTTCCTCTGCTGCGCCATTCTTCCCACCTCCCAGTTAACAGTAACCTGGGTGAAGTGTCAGTCGACTCAAAGGTCAAAGGCACCTCACTTTTCCTCTAACTCACTTTTCCTCTCACTCACTTTTCCTCCCTCCCAGTTTTTGGTACCGCCGGTGAAGCACCTGGAGAGACCCAGGCTCCCGGCAATAAGCGACCTCGTGTGAACTCTCTTCTCCAGTGCACCCACATGTCTCCTCTGCTTCCTCCCATGCGTTTCCTCCCCTGCCTCCCCTTCCCCTCCCCTTCCCCCCCCAAACCCCCCCCCCCCCACCCACCAGTTCCTGGTAACCCAAGTGAAGCACCTAAAGAAGATCAGGCTCCCGGCAATAGTCGACCTGGTGAACTCGCCTCCAGTGCACGTGCAAACCGTGGGGCTGCTGAGCAAGCGAGTGTGGCTCAAGGCGTACAAGGAGAGCAACGAGTGCAGCGATGACAGGAACCCCAACTGGCAGGCGGATTTCACCATGAAGTTTTCAGACTGGGAGGACACCCTCAAGTCTCATGACTATTCCTTTTTCCGAGTTGTGGAAACAGTGAAGGGGGCAAAGGTATGCAAAGGGGCTGGCTTCTTTCTAGGGGCCTCAAAAAGATTCTTCGACACCGTCAACTCTCATGAGTATTCCTTTTTCCGAGTTGTGGAAAAAGAGAAAGGGGCAAAGGTATGCAATGGGGGGGGCTGGCTAGTGTTGGGTAGGCAGTGTTTGTCGTCTTCGGTGTGATTTCTCTGTTTCCCCTTGGGGAAAACGCAAATGCTGAATTGAATTGGTATAGAAATTGTAGGGCCGTGCTTGGGTTTCTTTCTTCCTCCCACCTTTCCACCGCTTCTCGTCTCGTGCCCTTCCTGTTTCTTCCTCCCACCTTTCCACCGCTTCTCGTCTCGTGCCCTTCCTGTTTCTTCCTCCCACCTTTCCACCGCTTCTCGTCTCGTGCCCTTCCTGTTTCTTCCTCCCACCTTTCCACCGCTTCTCGTCTCGTGCCCTTCCTGTTTCTTCCTCCCACCTTTCCACCGCTTCTCGTCTCGTGCCCTTCCTGTTTCTTCCTCCCACCTTTCCACCGCTTCTCGTCTCGTGCCCTTCCTGTTTCTTCCTCCCACCTTTCCACCGCTTCTCGTCTCGTGCCCTTCCTGTTTCTTCCTCCCACCTTTCCACCGCTTCTCGTCTCGTGCCCTTCCTGTTTCTTCCTCCCACCTTTCCACCGCTTCTCGTCTCGTGCCCTTCCTGTTTCTTCCTCCCACCTTTCCACCGCTTCTCGTCTCGTGCCCTTCCTGTTTCTTCCTCCCACCTTTCCACCGCTTCTCGTCTCGTGCCCTTCCTGTTTCTTCCTCCCACCTTTCCACCGCATCTCGTCTCGTGCCCTTCCTGTTTCTTCCTCCCACCTTTCCACCGCATCTCGTCTCGTGCCCTTCCTGTTTCTTCCTCCCACCTTTCCACCGCATCTCGTCTCGTGCCCTTCCTGTTTCTTCCTCCCACCTTTCCACCGCATCTCGTCTCGTGCCCTTCCTGTTTCTTCCTCCCACCTTTCCACCGCATCTCGTCTCGTGCCCTTCCTGTTTCTTCCTCCCACCTTTCCACCGCATCTCGTCTCGTGCCCTTCCTGTTTCTTCCTCCCACCTTTCCACCGCATCTCGTCTCGTGCCCTTCCTGTTTCTTCCTCCCACCTTTCCACCGCATCTCGTCTCGTGCCCTTCCTGTTTCTTCCTCCCACCTTTCCACCGCATCTCGTCTCGTGCCCTTCCTGTTTCTTCCTCCCACCTTTCCACCGCATCTCGTCTCGTGCCCTTCCTGTTTCTTCCTCCCACCTTTCCACCGCATCTCGTCTCGTGCCCTTCCTGTTTCTTCCTCCCACCTTTCCACCGCATCTCGTCTCGTGCCCTTCCTGTTTCTTCCTCCCACCTTTCCACCGCATCTCGTCTCGTGCCCTTCCTGTTTCTTCCTCCCACCTTTCCACCGCTTCTCGTCTCGTGCCCTTCCTGTTTCTTCCTCCCACCTTTCCACCGCTTCTCGTCTCGTGCCCTTCCTGTTTCTTCCTCCCACCTTTCCACCGCTTCTCGTCTCGTGCCCTTCCTGTTTCTTCCTCCCACCTTTCCACCGCTTCTCGTCTCGTGCCCTTCCTGTTTCTTCCTCCCACCTTTCCACCGCTTCTCGTCTCGTGCCCTTCCTGTTTCTTCCTCCCACCTTTCCACCGCTTCTCGTCTCGTGCCCTTCCTGTTTCTTCCTCCCACCTTTCCACCGCTTCTCGTCTCGTGCCCTTCCTGTTTCTTCCTCCCACCTTTCCACCGCTTCTCGTCTCGTGCCCTTCCTGTTTCTTCCTCCCACCTTTCCACCGCTTCTCGTCTCGTGCCCTTCCTGTTTCTTCCTCCCACCTTTCCACCGCATCTCGTCTCGTGCCCTTCCTGTTTCTTCCTCCCACCTTTCCACCGCATCTCGTCTCGTGCCCTTCCTGTTTCTTCCTCCCACCTTTCCACCGCATCTCGTCTCGTGCCCTTCCTGTTTCTTCCTCCCACCTTTCCACCGCATCTCGTCTCGTGCCCTTCCTGTTTCTTCCTCCCACCTTTCCACCGCATCTCGTCTCGTGCCCTTCCTGTTTCTTCCTCCCACCTTTCCACCGCATCTCGTCTCGTGCCCTTCCTGTTTCTTCCTCCCACCTTTCCACCGCATCTCGTCTCGTGCCCTTCCTGTTTCTTCCTCCCACCTTTCCACCGCATCTCGTCTCGTGCCCTTCCTGTTTCTTCCTCCCACCTTTCCACCGCATCTCGTCTCGTGCCCTTCCTGTTTCTTCCTCCCACCTTTCCACCGCATCTCGTCTCGTGCCCTTCCTGTTTCTTCCTCCCACCTTTCCACCGCATCTCGTCTCGTGCCCTTCCTGTTTCTTCCTCCCACCTTTCCACCGCTTCTCGTCTCGTGCCCTTCCTGTTTCTTCCTCCCACCTTTCCACCGCTTCTCGTCTCGTCGTCCCCACCTTCCACCGTTCTCGTCTCGTGCCCTTCCTGTTTCTTCCTCCCACCTTTCCACCGCTTCTCGTCTCGTGCCCTTCCTGTTTCTTCCTCCCACCTTTCCACCGCTTCTCGTCTCGTGCCCTTCCTGTTTCTTCCTCCCACCTTTCCACCGCTTCTCGTCTCGTGCCCTTCCTGTTTCTTCCTCCCACCTTTCCACCGCTTCTCGTCTCGTGCCCTTCCTGTTTCTTCCTCCCACCTTTCCACCGCATCTCGTCTCGTGCCCTTCCTGTTTCTTCCTCCCACCTTTCCACCGCATCTCGTCTCGTGCCCTTCCTGTTTCTTCCTCCCACCTTTCCACCGCATCTCGTCTCGTGCCCTTCCTGTTTCTTCCTCCCACCTTTCCACCGCATCTCGTCTCGTGCCCTTCCTGTTTCTTCCTCCCACCTTTCCACCGCATCTCGTCTCGTGCCCTTCCTGTTTCTTCCTCCCACCTTTCCACCGCATCTCGTCTCGTGCCCTTCCTGTTTCTTCCTCCCACCTTTCCACCGCATCTCGTCTCGTGCCCTTCCTGTTTCTTCCTCCCACCTTTCCACCGCTTCTCGTCTCGTGCCCTTCCTGTTTCTTCCTCCCACCTTTCCACCGCATCTCGTCTCGTGCCCTTCCTGTTTCTTCCTCCCACCTTTCCACCGCATCTCGTCTCGTGCCCTTCCTGTTTCTTCCTCCCACCTTTCCACCGCTTCTCGTCTCGTGCCCTTCCTGTTTCTTCCTCCCACCTTTCCACCGCTTCTCGTCTCGTGCCCTTCCTGTTTCTTCCTCCCACCTTTCCACCGCTTCTCGTCTCGTGCCCTTCCTGTTTCTTCCTCCCACCTTTCCACCGCATCTCGTCTCGTGCCCTTCCTGTTTCTTCCTCCCACCTTTCCACCGCTTCTCGTCTCGTGCCCTTCCTGTTTCTTCCTCCCACCTTTCCACCGCTTCTCGTCTCGTGCCCTTCCTGTTTCTTCCTCCCACCTTTCCACCGCATCTCGTCTCGTGCCCTTCCTGTTTCTTCCTCCCACCTTTCCACCGCATCTCGTCTCGTGCCCTTCCTGTTTCTTCCTCCCACCTTTCCACCGCATCTCGTCTCGTGCCCTTCCTGTTTCTTCCTCCCACCTTTCCACCGCATCTCGTCTCGTGCCCTTCCTGTTTCTTCCTCCCACCTTTCCACCGCATCTCGTCTCGTGCCCTTCCTGTTTCTTCCTCCCACCTTTCCACCGCATCTCGTCTCGTGCCCTTCCTGTTTCTTCCTCCCACCTTTCCACCGCATCTCGTCTCGTGCCCTTCCTGTTTCTTCCTCCCACCTTTCCACCGCATCTCGTCTCGTGCCCTTCCTGTTTCTTCCTCCCACCTTTCCACCGCATCTCGTCTCGTGCCCTTCCTGTTTCTTCCTCCCACCTTTCCACCGCATCTCGTCTCGTGCCCTTCCTGTTTCTTCCTCCCACCTTTCCACCGCATCTCGTCTCGTGCCCTTCCTGTTTCTTCCTCCCACCTTTCCACCGCATCTCGTCTCGTGCCCTTCCTGTTTCTTCCTCCCACCTTTCCACCGCTTCTCGTCTCGTGCCCTTCCTGTTTCTTCCTCCCACCTTTCCACCGCATCTCGTCTCGTGCCCTTCCTGTTTCTTCCTCCCACCTTTCCACCGCATCTCGTCTCGTGCCCTTCCTGTTTCTTCCTCCCACCTTTCCACCGCTCTCGTCTCGTGCCCTTCCTGTTTCTTCCTCCCACCTTTCCACCGCTTCTCGTCTCGTGCCCTTCCTGTTTCTTCCTCCCACCTTTCCACCGCATCTCGTCTCGTGCCCTTCCTGTTTCTTCCTCCCACCTTTCCACCGCATCTCGTCTCGTGCCCTTCCTGTTTCTTCCTCCCACCTTTCCACCGCATCTCGTCTCGTGCCCTTCCTGTTTCTTCCTCCCACCTTTCCACCGCTTCTCGTCTCGTGCCCTTCCTGTTTCTTCCTCCCACCTTTCCACCGCATCTCGTCTCGTGCCCTTCCTGTTTCTTCCTCCCACCTTTCCACCGCATCTCGTCTCGTGCCCTTCCTGTTTCTTCCTCCCACCTTTCCACCGCATCTCGTCTCGTGCCCTTCCTGTTTCTTCCTCCCACCTTTCCACCGCTTCTCGTCTCGTGCCCTTCCTGTTTCTTCCTCCCACCTTTCCACCGCATCTCGTCTCGTGCCCTTCCTGTTTCTTCCTCCCACCTTTCCACCGCATCTCGTCTCGTGCCCTTCCTGTTTCTTCCTCCCACCTTTCCACCGCTTCTCGTCTCGTGCCCTTCCTGTTTCTTCCTCCCACCTTTCCACCGCTTCTCGTCTCGTGCCCTTCCTGTTTCTTCCTCCCACCTTTCCACCGCATCTCGTCTCGTGCCCTTCCTGTTTCTTCCTCCCACCTTTCCACCGCATCTCGTCTCGTGCCCTTCCTGTTTCTTCCTCCCACCTTTCCACCGCTTCTCGTCTCGTGCCCTTCCTGTTTCTTCCTCCCACCTTTCCACCGCTTCTCGTCTCGTGCCCTTCCTGTTTCTTCCTCCCACCTTTCCACCGCTTCTCGTCTCGTGCCCTTCCTGTTTCTTCCTCCCACCTTTCCACCGCATCTCGTCTCGTGCCCTTCCTGTTTCTTCCTCCCACCTTTCCACCGCATCTCGTCTCGTGCCCTTCCTGTTTCTTCCTCCCACCTTTCCACCGCTTCTCGTCTCGTGCCCTTCCTGTTTCTTCCTCCCACCTTTCCACCGCTTCTCGTCTCGTGCCCTTCCTGTTTCTTCCTCCCACCTTTCCACCGCTTCTCGTCTCGTGCCCTTCCTGTTTCTTCCTCCCACCTTTCCACCGCATCTCGTCTCGTGCCCTTCCTGTTTCTTCCTCCCACCTTTCCACCGCATCTCGTCTCGTGCCCTTCCTGTTTCTTCCTCCCACCTTTCCACCGCTTCTCGTCTCGTGCCCTTCCTGTTTCTTCCTCCCACCTTTCCACCGCTTCTCGTCTCGTGCCCTTCCTGTTTCTTCCTCCCACCTTTCCACCGCTTCTCGTCTCGTGCCCTTCCTGTTTCTTCCTCCCACCTTTCCACCGCATCTCGTCTCGTGCCCTTCCTGTTTCTTCCTCCCACCTTTCCACCGCATCTCGTCTCGTGCCCTTCCTGTTTCTTCCTCCCACCTTTCCACCGCTTCTCGTCTCGTGCCCTTCCTGTTTCTTCCTCCCACCTTTCCACCGCTTCTCGTCTCGTGCCCTTCCTGTTTCTTCCTCCCACCTTTCCACCGCTTCTCGTCTCGTGCCCTTCCTGTTTCTTCCTCCCACCTTTCCACCGCATCTCGTCTCGTGCCCTTCCTGTTTCTTCCTCCCACCTTTCCACCGCTTCTCGTCTCGTGCCCTTCCTGTTTCTTCCTCCCACCTTTCCACCGCTTCTCGTCTCGTGCCCTTCCTGTTTCTTCCTCCCACCTTTCCACCGCTTCTCGTCTCGTGCCCTTCCTGTTTCTTCCTCCCACCTTTCCACCGCTTCTCGTCTCGTGCCCTTCCTGTTTCTTCCTCCCACCTTTCCACCGCTTCTCGTCTCGTGCCCTTCCTGTTTCTTCCTCCCACCTTTCCACCGCTTCTCGTCTCGTGCCCTTCCTGTTTCTTCCTCCCACCTTTCCACCGCATCTCGTCTCGTGCCCTTCCTGTTTCTTCCTCCCACCTTTCCACCGCTTCTCGTCTCGTGCCCTTCCTGTTTCTTCCTCCCACCTTTCCACCGCTTCTCGTCTCGTGCCCTTCCTGTTTCTTCCTCCCACCTTTCCACCGCTTCTCGTCTCGTGCCCTTCCTGTTTCTTCCTCCCACCTTTCCACCGCTTCTCGTCTCGTGCCCTTCCTGTTTCTTCCTCCCACCTTTCCACCGCTTCTCGTCTCGTGCCCTTCCTGTTTCTTCCTCCCACCTTTCCACCGCTTCTCGTCTCGTGCCCTTCCTGTTTCTTCCTCCCACCTTTCCACCGCTTCTCGTCTCGTGCCCTTCCTGTTTCTTCCTCCCACCTTTCCACCGCTTCTCGTCTCGTGCCCTTCCTGTTTCTTCCTCCCACCTTTCCACCGCATCTCGTCTCGTGCCCTTCCTGTTTCTTCCTCCCACCTTTCCACCGCTTCTCGTCTCGTGCCCTTCCTGTTTCTTCCTCCCACCTTTCCACCGCTTCTCGTCTCGTGCCCTTCCTGTTTCTTCCTCCCACCTTTCCACCGCTTCTCGTCTCGTGCCCTTCCTGTTTCTTCCTCCCACCTTTCCACCGCTTCTCGTCTCGTGCCCTTCCTGTTTCTTCCTCCCACCTTTCCACCGCTTCTCGTCTCGTGCCCTTCCTGTTTCTTCCTCCCACCTTTCCACCGCTTCTCGTCTCGTGCCCTTCCTGTTTCTTCCTCCCACCTTTCCACCGCATCTCGTCTCGTGCCCTTCCTGTTTCTTCCTCCCACCTTTCCACCGCTTCTCGTCTCGTGCCCTTCCTGTTTCTTCCTCCCACCTTTCCACCGCTTCTCGTCTCGTGCCCTTCCTGTTTCTTCCTCCCACCTTTCCACCGCTTCTCGTCTCGTGCCCTTCCTGTTTCTTCCTCCCACCTTTCCACCGCTCTCGTCTCGTGCCCTTCCTGTTTCTTCCTCCCACCTTTCCACCGCTTCTCGTCTCGTGCCCTTCCTGTTTCTTCCTCCCACCTTTCCACCGCTTCTCGTCTCGTGCCCTTCCTGTTTCTTCCTCCCACCTTTCCACCGCTTCTCGTCTCGTGCCCTTCCTGTTTCTTCCTCCCACCTTTCCACCGCTTCTCGTCTCGTGCCCTTCCTGTTTCTTCCTCCCACCTTTCCACCGCTTCTCGTCTCGTGCCCTTCCTGTTTCTTCCTCCCACCTTTCCACCGCTTCTCGTCTCGTGCCCTTCCTGTTTCTTCCTCCCACCTTTCCACCGCTTCTCGTCTCGTGCCCTTCCTGTTTCTTCCTCCCACCTTTCCACCGCTTCTCGTCTCGTGCCCTTCCTGTTTCTTCCTCCCACCTTTCCACCGCTTCTCGTCTCGTGCCCTTCCTGTTTCTTCCTCCCACCTTTCCACCGCTTCTCGTCTCGTGCCCTTCCTGTTTCTTCCTCCCACCTTTCCACCGCTTCTCGTCTCGTGCCCTTCCTGTTTCTTCCTCCCACCTTTCCACCGCTTCTCGTCTCGTGCCCTTCCTGTTTCTTCCTCCCACCTTTCCACCGCTTCTCGTCTCGTGCCCTTCCTGTTTCTTCCTCCCACCTTTCCACCGCATCTCGTCTCGTGCCCTTCCTGTTTCTTCCTCCCACCTTTCCACCGCTTCTCGTCTCGTGCCCTTCCTGTTTCTTCCTCCCACCTTTCCACCGCATCTCGTCTCGTGCCCTTCCTGTTTCTTCCTCCCACCTTTCCACCGCATCTCGTCTCGTGCCCTTCCTGTTTCTTCCTCCCACCTTTCCACCGCTTCTCGTCTCGTGCCCTTCCTGTTTCTTCCTCCCACCTTTCCACCGCATCTCGTCTCGTGCCCTTCCTGTTTCTTCCTCCCACCTTTCCACCGCTTCTCGTCTCGTGCCCTTCCTGTTTCTTCCTCCCACCTTTCCACCGCATCTCGTCTCGTGCCCTTCCTGTTTCTTCCTCCCACCTTTCCACCGCTTCTCGTCTCCGTCCCCCCCCCCCCCTCTCCTCCCCCCTTCCCCACCCCGCTCTCGTCTCGTGCCCTTCCTGTTTCTTCCTCCCACCTTTCCACCGCATCTCGTCTCGTGCCCTTCCTGTTTCTTCCTCCCACCTTTCCACCGCATCTCGTCTCGTGCCCTTCCTGTTTCTTCCTCCCACCTTTCCACCGCATCTCGTCTCGTGCCCTTCCTGTTTCTTCCTCCCACCTTTCCACCGCTTCTCGTCTCGTGCCCTTCCTGTTTCTTCCTCCCACCTTTCCACCGCATCTCGTCTCGTGCCCTTCCTGTTTCTTCCTCCCACCTTTCCACCGCATCTCGTCTCGTGCCCTTCCTGTTTCTTCCTCCCACCTTTCCACCGCATCTCGTCTCGTGCCCTTCCTGTTTCTTCCTCCCACCTTTCCACCGCATCTCGTCTCGTGCCCCCCCCTCCCCCTTCCCCCCCTCTCTCCCCCTCCCTCCCACCTTTCCACCGCATCTCGTCTCGTGCCCTTCCTGTTTCTTCCTCCCACCTTTCCACCGCATCTCGTCTCGTGCCCTTCCTGTTTCTTCCTCCCACCTTTCCACCGCATCTCGTCTCGTGCCCTTCCTGTTTCTTCCTCCCACCTTTCCACCGCATCTCGTCTCGTGCCCTTCCTGTTTCTTCCTCCCACCTTCCACCGCATCTCGTCTCGTGCCCTTCCTGTTTCTTCCTCCCACCTTTCCACCGCATCTCGTCTCGTGCCCTTCCTGTTTCTTCCTCCCACCTTTCCACCGCATCTCGTCTCGTGCCCTTCCTGTTTCTTCCTCCCACCTTTCCACCGCATCTCGTCTCGTGCCCTTCCTGTTTCTTCCTCCCACCTTTCCACCGCATCTCGTCTCGTGCCCCCTTCTCCTCCCACCTCCACCGCATCTCGTCTCGTGCCCTTCCTGTTCTTCCTCCCACCTTTCCACCGCATCTCGTCTCGTGCCCTTCCTGTTTCTTCCTCCCACCTTTCCACCGCATCTCGTCTCGTGCCCTTCCTGTTTCTTCCTCCCACCTTTCCACCGCATCTCGTCTCGTGCCCTTCCTGTTTCTTCCTCCCACCTTTCCACCGCATCTCGTCTCGTGCCCTTCCTGTTTCTTCCTCCCACCTTCCCGCATCTCGTCTCGTGCCCTTCCTGTTTCTTCCTCCCACCTTTCCACCGCTTCTCGTCTCGTGCCCTTCCTGTTTCTTCCTCCCACCTTTCCACCGCTTCTCGTCTCGTGCCCTTCCTGTTTCTTCCTCCCCACTTTCCTGCTCGTGCCTTTTCCTGCCGCTCTTCCTTCCTAACCTTTTCCTGCTCTTTCTTTCTTCCTTTCCTTTCCGGGCAGTGGGTGTTCAACGATGCGGACGAGCAAGTGGCGGAGGCTATGGGGAAGATCAGAAAAGACTTTGGGGCAGCAGGAGTGGCGGATTTCAAGCGGGCAGCAGCAGAGATCGAAGAGTACAACGCCAGTGGGCGCTACCCAGTTCGCCTGCTGGTGAGTGCCGAGGGGAACCCAGAGGGGGGTGCTGGAGAAGAGGAGAATGGTGGAGAAGGGACCAATGGTGGAGCAGCCACAGAGGGAGCAGCAGGAGCAACTGGAGGAGGAGCAACAGGAGGGGCGGCAGGCGGGGCGGCAGGGGGAGCATCAGGTGATGCAGCAGCTGGTGCAAAAGAGGCAGGGGGTGGGGAGGAAGTGAGCGGGGTGAAGCAGGTAGCGAAGATGGCGTCAGTGGTGGGGTATCTGGTGGGTCTGCTCAACGTCTTCATTGCTGCTGCGCCAAAGGCAGAGCCAGGGGAGGGCAGGAAGAAGCGGCGGGTGGAGAATGGGGCAGGGGCAGGGGGAGGAGGAGGGGCAGGAGGGGAGTTAGGAGAGGATAGTGCGACAGGGGGTGGAAGGGGAGAGAGCAGTGCAGTGGGAGGGAGAGGGGTGGAAGGGGGGGCGAGGGGAGGAAGAGGGGAGGAGAGCAGTGCTGGCAGCAGGAGGGGAACTGGCAGAGGCAGTGGCACGGGCAGGGGCAGACCAAGGGGGCGAGGGCGGGGGTAGAAGTGGAGGGAGCGGCAAAGGGGATGGGACATAGAGGGGAGAAGCTCACTGGTGGCAGCAGGGACGGAACTGGCAACTGCAGTTGCTGGGGTAGCGGCAGTGGCAGGGGTGTGGCAGTGGCAGGGGCAGCAGGGTTGTTCATGCAACCCTGCTCACGCCGGGCTGGCATCCTGCTCGTCTAAGCAAGTGTTCATAATATTCTCTTCCACCTATCCTACTGATTGTTTGCTATTACAAACAGTTACGAAGCATTCAGGCATTGCAATCAGGGTTTCCAGCTAGGATTTTGGCCTGTCTGAGAATCAGACGGGGTTTCAAAGTTTGGTCTGACCAACATATGAAAAAAATCGACTTGTCTGCCATTTCAGATGAAATTTAGGTACTATGGTGTGAATGATAGATACATGTCATCTACACAATTTCTACGAGAACTACTGCTATCGGTACTGCTGCAACTGGTGCTGGTCAGGCCCCCAAATTGCAGACTTTTTACTCTGATTCAGACTTTTTTCAGAGTTTTTTTGGGGGTGTACTTGTTAACGTAGAAACGAATGATTACTAGAGGTGGAAACCTAGAACAAATACTAGTTGGTTGTACTCACTAGAAGCATACCTCAGTCTAGCCTATAACTTCTACATAGATAATATGTATAAGTTGACACACCCCCTAGGCTAGACAAGGGGTGAAACTAAACAAGAAGCAAACAGCTCAGGGTGGCACTACTAGTCCAGCCACTGGAGGTAAGGCCACAAGGCCAGTCTGACAAGCATATATAATAGAGAGTACACAATCAGGATCCTAACAGGGGAGCAGCTATAGGAACAAGACCAAGCTGTACACAGTGCCGCTGATGATCTTTAGGCGCAAGCGCCTTAGTAAAGATATCAGCTGTGTTGGCACCTGAGGCCAAGTGAACTACGCGGGCCTGGCGGCGCTGCTGTAGCTCGCGCAGGAGGAAGTACCGCAGCTGGATATGCTTCGCTCTGCCCTCAAGCCGAGGCTCCTGACACAGGAGTATCATGGCCCTGTTGTCAGCGTACAGGACCGGGGCAGAGCTAGGCCGCTCACCTAAGTCTGTGAGCAAGAAGGTCAGCCAGCGGAGCTCCTGTGCCGCCATGGCACCAGCGTAGATCTCAGCCTCACAGCTAGACTGAGCCACAGACGACGAGCGAGTGGATCTCCAAGAGATAGCACCCGAACCAAGGCTGAAACAGTAGCCCTGCGACGACCTGAGCGTCTCAGCGTCGTCTGCCCAAGAAGCGTCTGTGTGCCCAGTAAGGACCACTGGCCTGCGTCCTCCTAGCACTAACCCCATGCCTGATGTACTAGCAAGATAACGCAAAACCCTCTTAGCGGCAGACCAGTGCTGAGGTCGGTGTCTGCCTGTAGCCACAAAGCGAGCCAGGATGCTGAGAGGGTATGCGAGATCTGGGCGAGTGCAAGTCATCAGGTACATGAGGCAACCCACCAGCTCTGCGTAGGGGCCACTGGGCTCTACTGGCTCCTCAGGAACGGGAGCAGAGAGCCCATGGTCTACGGGTAGAGGTGTGGGCTGTGCGGAGGAGAACTGAAGACCGAACCTCTGAAGGACCTGACGCACCAAGTGTGACTGGGTCAGAGTGATGGTGCGTGCTGCTCTGTCCCTAGAGATCTGCAGGCCAAGATAGCGACGCAGCTCTCCAAGGTCAGTGCAGGTGTGTCTCTTCAGCAGCTCAGCCTTCACAGAGGCCAGTGCGTCCCTGTCAGGAGTAGCGAAGACCAGGTCGTCTACGTAGACAAGGATGTAGAACGGAGTGTGGCCGGAACGCACAAACAGTGAAGGGTCAGCAGAGGACGGAAAGAACTGCAGGTCTGCTAACGTGGCACGTAGCGTGTCGTGCCACTCGCGGGGAGCCTGACGCAGGCCGTAGACCGGGCGCCTGAGAAGCCACTGGGTCCCAGGAGGGAAGGTACCAGTGAAGCCCTGTGGTCGGCGCAGGTAGACCTGCTCGTGTAGGCTGCCCTGAAGAAAGGCAGTAGAGAAGTCGAGAGAGTGAAGCTCGTAGTCACGCTGTGCTGCTACGTGTAGCAGCGCCCGAAGAGTGGTCATCTTCGGGGTCGGGGCGAAGGTCTGGAAGAAGTCAACCCCCTCGCGCTGACTGAAACCTCTGGCCACGTAGCGCGCCTTGAAGACAGGCGGCTCTCCAGGGGGGCGCTTCACCTTGAAGAGCCACCGACCATCGACTACGTTCACCCCAGGCGGGGGAACTGCGTCGACGTAAGTGCCGGTGGATCTCCAAGATGCCATCTCCTGCTCCATGGCAGCTATCCACTGAGAGGCCCAAGGTCCCGAGGTGGCCTCAGCGTAGGTGCGAGGGGTCGGGATGTCGAAGGCGTCTGGGTCACCCTCAGGGACTAACAGCATGGAGCAGAGATGGGGAGCAGCCTCGGAAAGGAAAGCCAGCTCGTACTGCCTGTCCTCTAGGACGTCACTGCCAAGGGCAGGAGCACCCCCGACGGACAGAGGACGGGCAGGGTCAGAGACCAGAGCGGTAGCGTAGTCAAGGCGGCGGGGCTTAGGAGGCGCGACGGGGCCTAGGAGGCGCAACGGGGCCCAGCGGGGGCGCGTTAGGGCCTAGGGGTCGCGACGGGACCCAGTGGGCGCGACGGGGCCCAGGGGGAGCGCGACGGGGCCTAGGAGGCGCGACGGGGCCCAGGGGGGGCGCGACGGGGCCTAGGGGGCGTGACGGGGCCTAGGAGGCGCGACGGGCGGAAGCGGTAGGCGGGGGGATCCTAACCTAAGCGTGATACCATGTTAACGTAGAAACGAATGATTACTAGAGGTGGAAACCTAGAACAAATACTAGTTGGTTGTACTCACTAGAAGCATACCTCAGTCTAGCCTATAACTTCTACATAGATAATATGTATAAGTTGACAGTACTCTGATTGGGAAGACTTTTTTTTGTACCTTACTCTGATTTTTCAGAGAAGATTTATGTACCTACGCTGATTTTTCAGACTTTTTTTACTTGTGTACTCTGATGCCTCAACTCTGTATGGGGGGTCGACTCTGATTTGTGTAATGCCAGGTTTAGGGGGGGGAGCGTGATTTACCTGTGGGGGGGTGCTGATTGGCCCTTAGCCAAAATCAGGGCGAGATGCTTGTGGGGGGCTTTGTGAGGGCAGTTATTGGCCCTTCACCCAAATCAACGGCCAATGCGTATTGGGGGCTGTGTGAGGGAGTTGACTGGCCCTTCACCAAAATCGCTGGCCGATGTGTACTGGGGGCTGTGTGAGGGAGGTGACTGGCCCTTCACCAAAATCACCTCCCAGTTTGTGATGCGTGCGGTGTGAGGGGCTGATTGGCCCTTGGAAAATTTTGCAGAGGTGTGCTTGCCACTGCAGCGGGCTGTGTGTGCGAGGGCACCCATTGGCCCTTCACGAATAGCCACCTGGATGGCCCCGATTTCCCTACCTCCCCTGCAATTTTGATTTGCCCGCCCCCCAATTCTTTTCCGCCCCCATCCCTCGATTTCGTCCCCCATTCGCAATTCGCCACGATCCCGTTTCTCCACCAACCGATATCGTCGCCGTACCTCAGGCACGCGAAATTACTAGACACGGAACGGGGAGGGGAAGGGATAGAAACCCGTGAAAGACTCACCTAAAATTTTTAAAATCGTATGTCAGTCTGTCTGGGAGATTATCAAAGTAAAAAAATCTTCTGTCAGGCCTGGCAAGAGCGCTGTACAATACAGCACAGCTTTGCCATGAGCCTCGATGTACTTTCAACACTGATCAACCAAACCCGCACCAGCGCGGGGCCGGGCCTAGGGTGCCGCGAAATTCCGCGCCGCCGCCAGAACACAGATACGGTAGGGAGCGCACGCGAGAGAAAGCCCCTCAAGCAAGAATTATGAGGGCAGCGGTTGGGAAGGGAATGGAAAAGTAACGTGCAAAACACTCACTTTGAAATCAGAGTTAAAAACAATGGTAACTCTGATTAATCAGACAAATAAATGATTGTTACTCTGATTTTTCAGACTTTTTTTAGGGGGCGACTCTGAAGGCCATACCAAGAGATGGCAGACAAGTCTGATGAATCAGACAAGCCCAAAACCAATTTGGGGGCCTGGTGCTGGTGCTACTGGTGCTGCACCTTACACTACATGAGAAATTAGAGGTAGTAGTAGCTACACTAGACGCTCGATGAGGTGCCATGCCATGCCGCCATTCTACTCTGAGTCAGAACTGCCTGCCTCCTCAATATCTTCATCGCTCTCGGGCTCTGAGACCTGGATCTTCTTACCCTTGCTTCTCCTCCTCCAAATAGGGCCAGACGCACCATCCTCTTCAAAGACCCGAGCTGCTTCTGCTGTGGCTAGAGCTTCTGCCTGCCTGACTGCTTCTGCTGCTGCCTTAGCTACTGTATTGGCTGCTCTCAGTGCTGCCAACTTCTTCGGCCGTTTTGCCTTCCTCTCGCTCTGCTCCATCACTACTTCATTGACAGGCCGCCTCTTCTTCGCACAGCGCCAGATCGACACCATCTCCTCCCAGTCGATTGGGTAATCCAGCAACGAGACTGTCATCAGATGTCCTAGCTTCGTGTCGCAGAGGTTGCCGCGCTGCTAGCTCTTTATGACGTTCTGGCGACTGAACCCGCGCTCGCACTCCACTGTGCTGAGCGGAAGGACGGCGCATGCGATCCAGATGAGCACTAGGTTGGGGTAGGCGGTCATCCAGTCCGGCGTGGAGAGCATGTTCTTGAGTGCTTCATGGAAGCCCAGCTCGTCGTTGTGCATCGACATGATTGTCGTGAAGCTAACAAGCTCTGCCTTCGCCTTACCCCAGTAGACACCTGACGGGGGTGGAATACACGCAAAATTACATGGTTTATTAGTACCATCCACCACAAACGGATAAAAGAGTGAAAATGGTAAACAGACACATCAACACCGCCAAAACTCACCGGGCAGAGTGTCAGGCGCCGACGCGTCACGCTTGTAGAGGACGCGCAGAGACTGCAGCCACTCGAGGAACTTTCGTTGGCGCCTAACCGTTGACCTCAGGTACATTGTTTGCTTGAAGAGCCTTGTCCCGTTCAACTTCGACAAGTCGGTGAGGCACTCTTGAAGGTGGTCGATGATGCGGTTGACCACATCCGTTGGTAATTGCTTCAGTGATTTGAGATCCCCCTTGCTCCTCTGCCCCTCCAGCGGCCGCATGAGTAGCTCGTAGGTGTGCACTGTCGGGGTCCCATTTGCATCAATCCCCTCTATCGTCACATCCTCCCCACCCGCATAGAGCTTCAAGAAATCCGCAAAGTCCCCATCGCCAGGGCCGAACTGGGAACCGTAGTTGACGTAGCGGGCGCGCAGGGACATGACTGTGTTGTCGACCATTCTAAGCACCTGGGTGACGTCGACCTGCCAAGCATAACACAAAGTAGGAGACACGTTTATGCATGAATATATAGTC